AAGAGCTACTTAATTTTGTACAAACTGCTGGCAAAATATTTGTATTAAAAAGTCTGCTATTACTGAAGTCATTAACTAGATATCAAACACATTATTAAATTATTCGCTCTAAAAAATACGCCTTTAGAACTAAATTCTCAACCTTATTTCAGCTGAATACTAGGTCACCTGATTAACATTTGTATCAAATTATAATTTTTTTTATGAAATGTTCCAAGCTTAAATTATAATTCCTACAAATATGGATATGAAAAATCTTTGGGCCCATTAATGTTATCTTAGTACCTTAATTATTAAAGAAAACAAATGTAAAAGTACTTAGAAAAAAAATCTACTGGCAAAATGTATCAGATTCTTGCATATTTCAAGCAGTCGAACTTTTTCTAATAAACTATAACAAAGAAATATCATATTGAGTAGAATTTCAGCTTTTGAACTCACATCTTTTGAACAGCTTGCAATTCAAATCATTAAAGAAGAAATACTGTGCTAAATTATCTCTCTAAAACTATTTTATCAACATAAACTTTTTGAAATAAATTTAAGCTCTTATTTTCTTAATCATAATCAACAACCCAAGTCAAACTATTCCATTGGTTAAATCAAGAATGATCACTCCATTATAAATAATGTACCCATAAATTTTAACTCTGACATAGAAATATGCATAATACATAATAATCTGTAATTTAAAGGTAAACCTTTTTCTAAATATGAATAAATTCCTTTCTTGGGAAAGAGAGAGATACAGTACATATCAAAGAGATTTGGGTGTATTTATAAATATGGAAGTTCTCAAGTAGTCCAACTTAATAAAAATCTACTAGAAAGTAATTATAGTAACCATAAGGCAATAAAAATAACCCCAAGCTGTGAAAATATTTTTTTAATTAGCGGAGTGATACTTACAAGGACTATAATACCTATTAGCATTGTACCCTGTCGAAGGCTAAAGAGGTACAAAAATCTTCTAACTGGTGCTGTCATCTGTAAAGAAAATAGGGTGCCTATTGATTAATTAATAATATATTATTTTGAAAATGTCTAATACAAATAGCTTGTAAAATATTTAACAGCATAGAAAATACAATTATTTGATAAGAATAAAAACGACAAGATAAAAAGATTGTCTGCTGTAACTTCTATTATAAACTTCTTTTCTATTGCAAATACAGCTTATATTTTATTACAAATTCTAAAAAAGTAACAAACAAACAAAATTACTGTGTTACATAAATGTTTTCTAGACCTACTCTTCAGAAAAATGAATATAGTGGTTCTGTGGTTATTTCAAGTAAAATAGTTAAATGGAAGCTTCAGAATTACATAAAACAAATTATTACAATGTACTTAAGTTTTCTGGGTTCACTTAGCCCAAAAATGATCAGGGAACAAAAAAATAAAACATAATTCAAGAAATGAATCTAGTACTTCGGCATAGAACTGTCCTCTTGTATCCTATAAGATTATCAAGTCAAGAATCATGCTCTTTTACTATTAACTGTTTTGTTGAAATAGTCAATTCTTACAAGTTTTAAAACAATTAATTCTCATTTTGCATCATGATTAGTTAAATTCACATTTTACGGCAACCAAGCCAAAAATCTTACTTCACAATTACTTTAAATGAGTAATAATTACTTATTTGTAATATCTTTGAAAATCAGGTTCTTCAAATTGCAATTTGTGCATACAACAAAGACATTTAATTGATCTTTCTGACTCTAGTTTCTAAAGTAGATGAAAATAAACTTTGGTAAAATATTTATTTCTTATAGTTAAACATCTGTTAAAACGGTTAATAAAAAATGTTGGTACCAGACGAAAATAATTATAAAACATTAAAATGAGTGAAACAAGATTTGTGATTAAGGATAATAACATAATCATGTTTTACCAAATCTATAAAACATACCTTGTATTAATATAAATGCAACTAGAAATAAATAAAGATATCCAAAAATATCATTGTTTCCGTCCCCCTTGAAAGGGGATGTCATACACAAATCAATAGGAATTCTCATACTACCCGATTCGAAAACGTCAAATATTTTAATGTATGATTTTAATTCCTACTGTTTCTTATCCTTTATTAAAAGATATTTGTAAAAAAGAATAGTTACTAAGAATTGACTAGTGTTTAAAAAATCGGCTGAAAAAAAATAGGAAGAAATTATATTTATGACACCGCATTAGTGGAATTAATAGGTGTTACACTATCAACATTTTAATATATTCTAGACGCTAATAATACGTTTTTCATGGTGACTGATTACCCCCCAGTAAGCAAATTCACTGACACGAACAAATAAAATTAATATTTTTAATTTATTCCTTAGTCTATAATTCTCCACATTTCAAATTCATGACAGTAAATAAGCTTAATCATAAATTCTAGTTTACATTTTATTTTGATAACAAGATCTGTAGTGTTTATCTCTGTAAAACAGGTACCTGAAATTATAGAGCAATCTGCTCCCCATAACTGAACTGGAGTTTCACCGACTTAAGCATTTTTTGGTCCATACTTAAGGACCAAAATTCCACAAAGTGAATACCATAATCCACTGTTGGATGAAGAGACGAAAGACAAGGATAGATAGGAGAAAGAAAAAGAATATCAGGCGAAATCAAGGAAGGCAGTTCCAATCTCACTCTAAAGTCGCAAATAAACTTGAGCATTCGCTCCGAATAAAAAATAGGCTTTCTAAGAGGAGGGGTACACGCCCCAATGGGCAATGAGCCACTGAGCTCGTATAGGCCGAACAGGGAATCCAGTCTGTGCTGTGTATTAGATGTAGTGTATAGGATAGTGTAACTGCCTCTGGAATATCGAGTCTTCCTAAAATGGAAAAACGAAAATTGATCGTCTCTGGTTTTTGTTACTTAATTAATTGGATTCGTCGAAAAAGTGAAGGAGACATTGGTGAGGTCAAAGAAAATTGTTTGAATGATATATTGTTACAAATTATTGTACATGAAACAGATGACAACATAAGACAATTTACGAGAGTATCGCCGGGGGATTTTCAATCTATTTCGAATAATGTCAGTGTTACGATAGAGAAAGAAGACATAATATTCAGAAAAGCCTGCTGACAAACCCGCAGTTGTAACACTGCAATTAAAGGAAATTCCTACTCAAGTTAGTAGTACTTGTTTTAACATTTGAAAACAAGGTATAAGCTATGAGTTGGAACATTTATGCGTTATCATAAAAGGATTGACTGGCAATTGAGGGGATAGTGAGCTCAACATTTTCAACCCGAAATTAGTCGTCACCACTTACCTGTACACTCATCAGTAATCGAGATACGTCACTTTAACAACTTTTAGACTCGATTAAGGCATGCAGACCCATTCGGTTCGTCCTGTTCCCGTCAGAGGAAATAGGGTGAACGCGTGCTCATTCAGAGCAAATCCTCACGAGTATATGCGGCTTTAAAAGGGGCACAGGGTGGAAGCCTATATATTTGGTTCAAAACTCGACTTCAATATTCCACTCTGAATCTTATACAATAGAAGTTAAAGGCTCATTACTGACGGCGAAGGCTAAATCGGCTCCCAAATCTCAAGACAGTTGTTTCTTTAAAATGAACAGGGTGAGAAAAAATAACAATATAAAAGGAAAGAGAGCTTAAGAGAAGGGATATAAGTTTTAAGGAAATGTAAAAATGAGAAAGAGAGAGATAGAACTGAAAATAAGAAATAAAGCAAGAAGTTCAAAACATTTTAAAAATTACTCTAAAGCTTATGTTTTGTCTTAATTTATAGCACACACACGCGCGCGCACACAAACATACACACAGACATAAAAAAACGCATGCACGCGCACAGAAAAACACACACACACACACACAGAGAAAAAAAACAGTGAAGAGATGGAATTTTATAAAAGATGTTGAGAATAAATTTAACTAATTTGGAGATAGGCGAACTTTCTGTATAATTTATTATCGTTAGTATATCTATGTTCTCATTAGCTCATGCCTATCTTGGTTGACCGTATTCCCTTTTGATATTCATCCGCATTTCCATTTTTTAGAATCATTTATTTAGAGGATAGCCCCTTCTGTTTATTCTGAGGTCATGCAGCTCTTTTTGTAAATCTCAGAAACTTTTGGCGTAATATTATCATTATCGACTACGTTTAGATCTTCGAGCCTATCCTTAATTACTACTCCTTTCTTTTTAGAATGCTTCTTTAATATGAGTTGGAATATCATTAGAAACAATACGGTGAAAGGATACTGTTTTACACCTGCTGTGTTGTCGAAAAGTTAAGAGAGCTTTTCCCAGTGAATCACCTGTCTGGAGGAATCTTTACAGAGCTTTTACAACATGTTCACTATTTTCTTTTTTTGTTGTTCTTCTTCCGGCACTCATTATGCGATCTGTCTTTGCGATATGATACAGCTGTTGAATATGAAAAAGACAAAACGATTGTACATCACAGAGACTGGTCGCATTCTGTGTGAGTGAGCCTTAAAAGCTCAACAAAGTGTTACCTCCTCTTTTGGTTTTGTTCCTCCCTCGTTGCTTCTTATTAGCGAGATATTGTTTCCTGAAGAGGATTTTTTTTATTATGTATAACAATTTTTTTTATCTATAGCACAATACCGATATGAATATTCTGACAAGTGAGTATTGAGCTGTAAATGAATCTCAATTTATTTCGTAATAAACCCTCAGCTTAATTAACACGGATTTCAAACTTATTAAACAAGGAAGTTTTTCTAAAAGTAGGGTATTTGTTGTATAATTGGATGGTGATAACAAAATGGTCGAGAATAATTCATGTTTCTTTAAAAACTAGACTTTGCTTAGTTCAAAGGTACTCTTGGAATTGTTTTAACCACGATAAACTTCACTTTCATTTGAAGTAAATTTTGCTTATTTAATTGTGAAGCAGATGATAATTACCTAAATTTAGTATTTTTTTTTAAGTAATCGATTTCCATTCAACACAAAACGTATTTATTTAAAAGAATACAATTCTTAAATTGTTCCTGCTTTTTTATGGAAAATTGGGAGAGATAATGAGATAGTGAAGATGATGATGACGTATTAGATTTTTGAGATTGGAACTTCCATGTCGTTTTGAACTTACACGTCGTATCTCATTTCAATTGACTGACAGCTATTACCGGGTAGCCAAAGTACAGCTGACTGTCATCAACACACCGTTTATTTTTTATAAATTAAGTGTGGCGTAGTATTCAAAACAAGCATTACTATTTTACCTACACTGTTACTTCTCTTATTCTTGTATTTCATTAGAACCATTATGAATACAATTTTATTGGTTTGCTTTCATTTACATTTATAATATACTCGGATAATTATTGATTTTTTGTCTTGTAATGTAAACATAAAGCAATATATGCAACATAAATAAAGTAGTAATTATGAATTTGGGGTCTAATGTCTATGGCAATGGATTATTGTTTGCAGCTTTCAACCAAGATCAAGGTTATCAGAACTTAATTTAAATCTAAAAATATTTGTCTAATATTTTTATGGGTGGTCTATTCTTAGATTATGTAATTAAAGCTAGCTTATAAATGTTAATGTAGGTTGTTTCGCGTGTGGTATGGATGATGGTTTCCGAGTTTACAACTGTGATCCTTTGAAGGAAAAGGAAAGGCAGGATTTTTCTGATGGTGGTCTGTCAATTGTTGAAATGCTTTTTCGGTGTAATTATCTAGCCTTGGTGGGTGGAGGATTGAGGCCTAAATATCCTGTGAATAAAGGTACTTTTTAAACTAATTATTTTGTTGTATATATTTCGGTTCACATTTCTTAATTTGCACATTGACTGCCTCCCTATAATATAACGTCTAGTTAGTACTATTGTTTATGACACAAACTAAGAGCTATCTCTCAATTAGTTTTAGTGCCTTATTTTTGCAGTTACAATGGAGTTTGTTGTGCTCTGTCATGACTAATATATATTAAATTTCTAATTTTTAATGATATAACATGTTCAATTAACTTGTTTCTTTAGACTGAAATCCTGAATTATACCGTGTCAGTTAATGTGTTAAAGGATTTAGATTTAGCTTTCTTTGGTGTGTTGTGGATCAGGAGTTATATCCTGAAGCATTACAGATTTAAATTATTAGCAATGTTTGTTAGACTGTGACCTAAAGGAAAATTAGGTAGATGATTCTGTTATGGATAGGCACCACTTTGGTTCTTGAAATAAGTTGAAAAAAAAAGAAAGCTCTTCCACAATGAGATTAGATGGGTGTTCCGACAGGCTCTTGTGACATTAACAAGGAAATAAATCCAAATTATTCATACATTTTGATGAAATTTTTTTTGAGTCTATCTAGTGCTCAAAATATATAGTCCAGTAAATTTAGGGAAATAAACAGCCTTACTCCAACATTAAAAAACTAAAGATGAATCTTATCAGAAATTGTTTATTGCCCTACCCATTTTTTTTTCTTTCTGTTGGCATTACAGACCATGTAGATCTTTGTTGCCTGCTTCATCTCTACCTGTCTTGGGCTATTTCTTACCATTTATCTGCTCACAGCTCTATTGCATATTTGTTGATTCCATCTATCCATCTGCTTTTGCGGCCTTCCACACACCCTTCCCATAATAATTGATAAAAAGTCCCAAAGAATCCCTGGTACTTGTTAAATAGCCGGTCGGGTCTGACTGCTATCTGCCAATGTTTTGTAACCTTAATACTGATAATTCTGATAAGGCACTGATAATATCTTTGTATTCATATTTCTTGTATTATATTCATATTATTATATCTTGGTATTCATATTATTGAAATTGTAAACAAAAACAAATTTAATAATAAAAAAAATTCTTTTATTTTACAAGATATATATTAAATAGACCAAAACATTATACACATATAATGTAAAAACATTACAACATATATATATAAAATAAATAAAATAATAAAAATAGGCAAAATATAAATGAAATTATAAAAAACCACCTAAACGACACATGTTCATATAAAAGAAACACTATGAAGGACATATGCACATATAAAAGAAACACTATAAAGAAAATATGTACATAAAAAACAATTTTAATTTAGCTTAATTTATTTTGGTAGGAAAAATAGTTTTATGCTATTTTAAATAGCGAGAAAATAGTTCAATTATGGGAAATAGTAAATTGTAGGAAATAGTTAAATTATGGGGATTAAAATGGCGTGGTAGTAGAGAGCTCCCGAGTTCTAGGTAGATGGAAGAGTATACACAGAATTGGATCAACTCTAATGTAATGAATGTATGGTGGCAGTGATGAAGGTGGTGGTTGAAGCAGCCTTATGTCAATAGATGAAGTGGCTGGGCGATTGAAAAACTTTAAAAAAATATCAAAGCAACCTGGGGAGGATATGCTGGTTGCAGAATTCTTTTAATAGGAGGAGAAGAATTGATAATCCAAATACATTTACTGTTGGAGGAATGTTTGGTGAGTTTGAAATCATGCCTTAGGAGTGGCGAACCAGTCTGATATGCTCGATTATTAAAAAGGAGATAAACTCAATGTGTGATATTACGAGCAATTTCTCTATTGCTGTTGCTCTATTACCATATTTTTCAGCATTCTTCTGTGAGCTCAATGTATTTGCTGGGAAACATGGCTGGAGGAAAAACCAGTGTGGATTAGGAGGGAGAGGAAACAAACTGAGCAGGTTTTGTGAGAGACAGATATGCAAAAAGCCTGGGAATATAAGAATGACCTGCATATGTTGTTCATAGATTACTGGCAAGCTTTCAATATAGTGATAAGCAAATTTATAAATTCCTTACATGAGTCCCAAATTCCAAAAAAATTTATAAGGTTATTGCAAATGACTCTGAATAATAACAATGCAAAAGTAATTATTCAAGTCAATGTAAGCATTAACTTTCCAATGTCGGATGGGGTTAGGCAAGACGATGCTTTGTCTGCCACATTATTTAATATTGCACTTAATAATGTTTTGAAGAAACTGGATTCGCCTGATTGCATACTTGACGCAATGTTACAAATATGTGCTTATGCAGACCATATATACCTTACGCAGACCATATTTGCCTATTGACCAGGAATGAGAGGTTAATAAAGGAAATATTTGCAATAATGAAAGCCGAAAGTGAAAATGTTGGGCTGGAAATTAATCAATATAAGACAAAATACACGTATGTCGGGGCCGACAATGAGGGTGTTTCTCAGATCATTGAAATATGTGGTCTCACCTTTGAGTGTGTCAAACAATTCATGTACCTGGAGGGTGGAAGTTAATTCTGAAAATAAAATTGCTGCTAAGGTGTACAAGAGGATCATGGCTAGAAACCATGCCAATCTAAAATTTTTTTGATCATCGCTTCTGTCACGAGAAACAAAGTTAAGATTATATAAAGACTTTAGTAACACCTATTGTGACTTATGCAGCGGAGACATGGACCCTTTGTACAGGCACAATTAGTATGATGAATATTTTTGAAAAAAAAATATTGAGAAGAATTAATGGAGCTGTTTGTGAAGAGGGTGTGTGGAGGTATAAAAAAAATTCGGAACTATATAATAGCGACACTTCTGACAGAAATTGGTCAATCAATATCCCATGACATGAAGGCATGGAGGTTAAGATGGGCAGGACATATAGCTCGTAGCAATCCATCTAGAAGCCTCTACATAACAATGAATGCTCAATAGAAGACAAAAGACTACATGGAAGGCCAAAAAAAACAGATGGATAGATGGAATTAACTAAGATGCAATAGAGCTGCGTGCAGATAAATGGAAAAAAATAGCCCAAGAAAGGCAGAGATGGAGCAGACTTGTTAAGGCGGCATAAGATGTACATGGTCTCTAATACCAACAAAAAAAATCCTATAAATATCTCCATAACCATTTCGTTAAAACTAGGCTCATGGATTGATTAGACCACGTGGTTAGAATGGACAACAGCAGGATGTCTTATAGGGCATTGTTCTCTACAATATATGGCACAAGAAGAAAAGAAAGACCAAGGAAAAGATGGCTGCAAGATGTTGAGAGCTACCTAAAACACTGGGTGTGAGAAACTGGAAGGAAAGGGCGAACAATAGAGACGATTGGCATGCTATAATCCAGGAGGCCAAGGCCCACCCCGGGCTGTAGAGCTACATAGTAAAGTAAAGTATAAAGTGGTTGTTACCTAAATTAAACATTTTTTTAGTTGTTGCTTTTTATTTAAGGTTATAATAACTTTTCATAAATTTCAATGTCTTCTATGACATATTATCAATTATATGAAATTAATGCCAATCTTAACTTTAGTTCAATATGACAAAATTCTTCATTGATTGATATCAAATATAATTCTGTCATTAATGACATTTTAGAATCATTAAAACCAAGAAATTTCAGATAATAATTTGAGCGGTCGAATATGTTAAAAACTAATTAAACTTCATGAAGGTATTGTCTACTATGAACATCAATTTTGTGGGTTTAAGCAATTTTTGCTTATCGTGGAATTAGAATAAATATGATCCCATTAATGCACGCATGCACCAACTGAAGATAAAGATGAAGAGGTGAAGGATGATTTCTACAATCATTTGGAAAATATTGTGGACTAAGCTCATAGGCATGACATAAAATTAGTTATAGAAGACTTTAATGTAAATATAGGACGCGAACCCCAATTCAGGCCCATTATCTGATACCATAGGCTTCACGAAAATAGCAGTGACAATGGAGTGAAATGTATCAGTCTAGTAGCAGATAAAGGTCTAGTCGTCAGCAGTACAATGTTCGGTACTTGTGACCTACGCGGTTGGGATGGAAACTTCCTTCTTATCGTACATCACATAACCTCCCTTCTTATCTTGTATAAGCTCTTGTTATCCTTCCATTATGTGTGCGTTATTCCATTGTTTACTTTTTGTTAATTTTTCCATCTGTTCAAATGGATATTCTTACACTTTGCTGTCTTCAGAAGAAGAAGCTATCAAATACTTTCAAAAGATCGGGATAATTGCAAAGGTGAAATATTGTGATGAAGGTCATGAAATGAAGTTCGACGGGAAGATGAAATGGAGATGCTTTCGAACAATTGTAAGAAAAACTATAAGGACAGCGACGTGGTTAGAGGGGTCAAAGATTAACTTGTCAAACGCTTTAAAATTAATTTATGGGTGGTCTCATAATTTTACAACAATACAAGAGTTGAAACTATCGAACAGATGTATCATAATGTGGAACAAATTTTTAAGAGAGGTTTGTGCCCATAACATGTTATACAGATCAACTAAGAAAATTGGAGGGCCTGAGAAAGTTGTTGAAGTAGACGAGACGACACTGCTGACAGAAATTGGTTAATCAATATCCCATGACATGAAGGCATGGAGGTTAAGATGGGCAGGACATATAGCTCGTAGCAATCCATCTAGAAGCCTCTACACAACAATGAATGCTCAATAGAAGACAAAAGACTACATGGAAGGCCAAAAAAAACAGATGGATAGATGGAATTAACTAAGATGCAATAGAGCTGTGGGCAGATAAATGGAAAAAAATAGCCCAAGACAGGCAGAGATGGAGCAGACTTGTTAAGGCGGCAAAAGATGTACATGGTCTCTAATACCAACAAAAAAAATCCTATAAATATCTCCATAACCATTTATTTTATCGAAAAAGTAATTTTTGTAGAGATTTTAAACTACTTTAATATTGTACTGAACAATCTTTGCAAAAAAACAAATATTTTTTGAGATATTCTAAAAAAAAAAATATCACTTTTCTGTCCTCCCTCTCCCCTCAACAAAATCCGATGCGAGATTCTTGGGGACTTTTTACCAGTTATTATGAGGAAAATAATAAACAATTTATGACAAGTTTCATCTTTTATTTTTTTATTATTTGGGTCAATTCCTAATTTTACTGTTCTAATTGGCATCCTTCAAATATTTGAGATCACTGGAGCCCAGAGTCCCAAAACAAAATTTGAAAGTTTCCATGTGCAAAAAATATTTTATTTTATATCTCTGATTACAATGAAAGTAGACAATTAATTTTAGCTCCAAAAATCTCTATTGTCATGTGAAAATATATAAATAAAAAAAAGGTTTATGTTGTATGTTACATCAAAAATAGTGTTTTTTGTAACTCAAAATCAATTTTCTCAAACATCAAATTCAGATTCTGATTTATCATTCCAAGAAATGTTATATTCCTAAATTTTTAGAAAACCAATAACAAAAGGATTTTTGTCAAAAAATTAGGCCATATGCCTAAATTAAATATAATAATGGGTGATAAACTATTCAGGGCAGTCTTTAAAAAAAAAATTTTATTTTTATTTGTGCCAACGTTTCAACCCAAATATGTGGGTCATCTTCAGGGTGTGGTTCGAGTATTGAAGGCTTTCAAGTACTCGTTTTTCTTAAAAGACTGTGTCCTGAATATTTATCACCCATGATATGTAGAACAGTTGACTTGCTTCTTTCAATAATTCATAAAATCAAATATAAGTTTTTCAAATTATTTTTACATGTTTGTCTTGCTTTGTGTGTTTTTTCACTAGTTAAAAGCAAATATTGTGTTATATTGCTACCATATTATTTTCTATAAATTTATTTATCAGTGATGATTTGGGATGATATGAAGAAACAAGAGGCTATATCCTTAGAGTTTTCAGCCCCAGTGCGTGGGGTACGTCTAAGAAGGGATAGAATAGTTGTTGTTCTGGAGGGTGTCATTAAGGTCTTCACTTTCACACAGAATCCGCAGCAGCTTCATGTATTTGAAACAAATCCTAATCCAAAAGGTTTGTAGAAAATATATAAAATTAAAAATTACAGTATTTTTTTCCGTTGTTAAGGAATTTAAAATTATTAAATTCTGAATCATTTTTATTTTCTTAAGATCACTTTAATTAACTAGTTAAATACAAGGTTAATTTACTATGGAACTATAAATGTTATCTATCAATTTCCATGACATTGATTTATGAAAAAAAAAAAAAAAAAAAATCTGGTGCGTTCAATGCACAACTTTCACTTACCGCTCTACTTTGAATAGAAATTATTTTCTGGCAATGCTGGGTTATTATAAAATTATTGAAGTGCATTTTAAATGGAACTAAAGCTTAAAACTTACAGATAACAGATCATTGAGACCATTAAAATTACAAAATAGTCTATTTATTATATTGACGGTAGGTAATAAAAATCTCGTTAATCTATCTGCTTTTATAAACCACACTACTTCGGTCTCTGAGTTGACAGAATGACTAACTCTGATTTTAACATTTTTGAGTAATGTCATTTTAGTGATATTCAGTGAGTAAGTTGATTCCAGAGTAGGTGATTGCAGTTTTGAAATATAGAGCTATAATAAAGGTGTGAATAAAGGTGTAAAATTTGCCACTAAAAACATCACTAAAGTTAATAATAAAAATTGGGGTTAGTCATTCTGTCAACCGAAAGGCTCATATATGCCTAGAGAGGCTTGAAAGTGCATCTGAATATTTAACCTATAAATGATTATGGATTTTAGGACTATTAGTTATTAAACTGTTATTTTCCATTGTAAAGTTTACTAAAACGAAATAATGAGATTTTCATGCCTGCCATGGATAAGTCAAAAGTTGTCAGACTAATTGTAAGTGAATAATGTTGGGATTTAAAAGTTTACAACGTATAATAAGATAATTTCAATGATTAGAAACAAGTGATTTACATTAAATAATGTTAGTTTTCTGAAATTATTATTTATATTTTTTTTGTCTCTCTCCGTTATCTTCTACAACTTTCTATATTAGATATTGTTTTTTCTAAAATTCTCAGCTTTCCTACGATATATTATACGTATACCTTCTCACTAGTAATTCCGGAGATTCATTTTCGACCTGGATATGCATTTTTATTTATTTTTTCCTTTATTAACTTATCAAATTCTTTCAAAAATTATATTTAGCATTTTTTTGTAACTCTTAATAATGAGAGATAGTTAATTATTTAAAATAAACCATATTAAAGGTACTTTAGAGGAAGACGTACATGAACATTGGACATTTAAGTCCTGTAAAGTGACATCAATGGGGATAACACCTAAATGATATAAAAGACCATTTAATTATACAGTGATACACCAAGTTTAGTCAAAATCGTTAGAGCCATTTTTGGGGAAATTGTAAAAATGTGTTACATAATTCATATTAAGTAGCACTTCCGGTTAGCCGATTTTAATGGAAATGTTGCAGCCACATCTAAGTCATATATCTGTCTTAAATATGTAATATCAGTTTCGCACAACTTCAGGTTTTTGAGCTAGACTGTTCACATACACACACAGACCATTTTTCAGGACTTGGTTATTTGGACTCAGGGGACTTCAAAACATGTATTTCCGTTGAAAACTCAGATTCAAAAATTTTCAAGATCGTAATACTTACCCTTACTATATATTACTTATATAGGTAAGTGAAAGTAAAAAAAATCTATCTTGGATTCAGCGCTTTGTAAGGAGTAATGTATATTCAGTTTTAGGTAATGTTTTAAGACCGCTTCAATTTTTTAAAGACAATTTGATTAATTTTTAAATAAGTAAAACTAAGCTAAGATTTTTTTTTTAAACCAAACTTCAATACAACAAGAGGATATAACACTCCAGTATAAAATGATAAAATTTTATAGGGATATAGTAAAAAAATAAAATAAATACATCGATAAAAATATTAATACTTTTTTAATCAAATATTCTCTCTTAATTTCCAATACTATTTTGACTTCCTGTCAGTAGTGGATTCAGGATTTAATTTTAGGGGATGGGGCATTCTTTTTTTTTTATAAGGGTATTTAATTTGAAAGAAGCTATATAGAATGACTTTTGATTGTGTTATATTTTTTTTCTTGACATATGCTTATATTAAGTAGCTGTGTATGAGTTATAATGAAGAGAAGAATACATTGGGATTGTTTAAGTCTTCAGCTCAGATCACTTCCAGAAAGAAATATGAACCAATGAAAAAAAATGGTACAATAATATGACATCAATTTTTTTTTAGTCAAGCTTTTTTTTTTTAGCTTGTATTCAAAATAAGCTAAACAGATTACTATTCATTAATCAACAAATAATTTTGAGTCAATTGATGTACTTTTTTGATGAAAAATTATTATATAAAGTAAAGAAAAATTACTTTGAAGAAAAATTAATGCAACACTTAAACACACTATGATGTGATGTTATAAAACAACTGAGGCGATCAGAGCCCCATACTCAACTGAAAAGAGTTCTATTAGTGTAGCCTACTCAATTTTGGCACAAATCCTGAATTTCCCGCAGTGGAACTTCTTATTCTTAAGGTTGCCCAAGGTGCATGTATTTCCCCTCTATTTTTTTTTAAATGTAAAAGTTGTTGCTATTAATTAACGTTTATTTTATAGTGATTTGGAATGAAAATTAAGAAATTTTACCTGATCGCATATAAGAAGGGCTGTAATTTTTCAATGAAAGAAAGAAATATATAAATGATGGCATTAGAATGAATTTTCAATTCTTCACTTAAACTTATTTTTAACATGTTAAGTGTGAATTACAGTGGAATTATTTACTGGTAAATAAAATAAATTTTAGTCTGCAACTAGAGCAATATTTGGTGCAAGTGATCAGTTACTGGTGATTCCATCACTTTTTTAAATAAAAAAAAAACTCATTATAATGTATGTTTTGGTAAAACAAAAAAGTAATATAATAAATTTTCATGATAAGAATTTGTAGGGATTAAATAATTTGTTTAATTTAAAATTGAAAAAGAACTGTTTAGTAATTGGTATTTTCATTCTAGTTCAAGTATTGTTACTTATTTTCCAAAACTATAAGAATATCGATATCTTGCTTTGGCTCTAATATCATATCACAGCCTTTATGTAGGGGACCAAAAAATTAAATATATACTTCAACCTTATTAAAGAAACTCGAGGTATCAATACTTACCTTTCAGTGTTAATGTATATTGATATCCTATAATAAATCATATGTTGATAGCAAATATCAAACTGAATAGAATATCTGAATGTCATTACTTTTAAATATATGAATAGTTGATAGTTTTAAATCAACACTTTTACAATTTTTAAACCTCATTATGTTTTTTCCTTATGCCCAGAGTTCCCTCTACTTTTAAGTATAATTTCAGATGGTGATGCAAAAATATCTTCAATTCCTGAATGATGAACCAAGGTTACCTGTAATTTTCTCAGATGAATATTTCTCCTTGTAATGAAGTAAAAATTATATATCTTGATAATTTCAATTGAATTTTTCAGGATTATGTGTGCTCTGTCCTAATTCAAACAATTCCGTGTTAGCCTTTCCTGGTCGGAAAACTGGCTCAGTGGTGTTAGTAGATCTAGCTGATACAGAAAGAAGACCATTGGAAATAGCAGCTCATGAAGCCAATCTCGGAGCTCTATCTCTTAACTTACAAGGCAGTCGTCTTGCTACTGCGTCTGATAAAGTTGTATTTTATTTAAAAATTATTAAAATGTATCTATATAATTTTTTTTTATTTTGCCGTTACATTTATTAAAGTGACAAATGAGTAGTGTAATTTTAAAACACCTATTCCATTCTTTTCTATACATTTTATAACCACAAGGCTCTCTGTGACTATAATTGAAAATGTTTTCATTAATCTCTCAAAGTCAGTTGAAAATCATCAATAGGATACATTTTTCATTTCATTAAAATTCCAGTACTCATATGCTTTCTATCTATTGATTTATAAATTAAGAGTACTTTCCCATACTATAAATTTCATATATAGGTGAGTGAAAGTAATGAATACTTTAATTTATTATTATGTATTCAATTGATTACCATTGATACACTTTGAAGTAGTGTATTCTTTATAGAAATGACATTTTTTAGATATTTGTCAAAATAAAGTCATAATTGGTTCATTTTTAATTTGTTCAAGAAAAAAAATGTTGCAAGCCTATAGGGTAACCCATTCTTCCTATCACTATTGGAATACTCACATGTTCTTCATGTTAAATCCATATAATAGTTGATTCCAGAACATGACAATTGCATGTGATAATTATTCCTATTTATCCTTACAATCATTAATAATTTAATTTAAAACTAACAAAACTATTGTTAAAAGTTTGCAGTGTTTTATCTCACAAATTTATGAATAATAAATAAATAATTAATAAAAATAAAATGAACATCTGGGAATTGGTGTTATGATTACCATTTGAGCCATCTGAAAAATATTTAAATTAATAATTTTTTTTGGAGGGGAGATAAGAGAATGGGTATTATAGGCCATGTAGATCTTAGGCACTGCTGGAGGGAGTCAACCAACCTTATGTTGCTACGAACCATGATTTCCTTTCTATATTGTAACAGCAAGCTTCTGATAGCTCTATAACAAGTATCTTTTAAGCCAATTTAGCAGGATTCTTCCCACCAACTTGTATTCAAGGACAGTAATAAATGGTTTTAGATTCATGGCCTACGACTGTTCAGGGTCTGTAGGCACATAAGGACCTATATTCTTTTTCCCGAAATATTATGGACCAGGTGGGCACAATCATTCTGAAAAACCTAGTTAGGATTCCAGATTAAGCTACATAGAATAGAGTTATCATTTATATGTCCGCTGGTATGAGTTGCCTCCAGTGAGTGAGTGGAAGGGAGAGAATCTCAGGCTGCACCACTTTCCCTAATGGGCGGGCGCAACAGCCTGCTGGATATTGCTGTTGTTTACCTTATTATTTTTTAATTTATAATTTGCATGCAAGGTTACAATTCTATTGTTTCCTATTTATCATTAGGCTGTATTTATCTGAACTTCCTTACACTTTAAGAAGTTTATAACTTGAAATATTACCTTTGTATCAATTATAATTCTGGTCTGGTTGCTTTGTTACTATTAAAGCATTAATTTTTACATTATTTTTTAGGGTACATTAATTAGGATATTTGATACTATGACTGGGGATAAGCTGATGGAGTTGAGAAGAGGAGCACACTCAGCCCAAATATATTGGTAGTATTTTTTACATTATTTGAAAATACATTGATTAATTTATTTATGAAGTAGATCAACGAAAAAGGTGCTAAATTCCTAACTCCTCAGTAAGGTTTGTGCTGGACTGTGTTTAAAAATTTATTTTATTTTCTGTCTATCATGTACTGACTCTCGTTTTGATCCTTGGTGGGTCATAATTAATCTTTAAGGTGGGTCCATGATGAATGTTCAGAATTAGGTGATTGTTTTGAATTATGAGCTAGGTTCTATATTTTTTTCAAGATATTTTGTGGGATTTGGTTGTTTGCTGTAAATAATTGAAAATATGCCCAATAACAGCATATAAAAAGTTAAGATGGCTTCAAAAAGTTAAAAGAGGTAACCTCCTATATTTGTAGATTTTAGTTAAATATTTTGGTTACTGAGCACACCTTTTTTTAACCAAGGTGCTCTGTCACTATTCAATGTAAGAGAGATCTTGAAATTTATTGGAAAAATTATTTACAGAGAAGAAAATCAGCTAAGTACTTAGTGGTATAATTTTATGAAATTTTACTTGATGACTTTTTTTTTTACATTAAACTGACTATATGATATTTTTATTTACAATATGTTTATATTGGTTAATATTAACATTTTATAGTACAGACATAACATAACCTCATAATTCAATTGCTACGGTGAGCAGTTTCAGGAAAGTACCCAAGCTTAAACAGTTAGCAGCCAGGAATGACGGTCGCAATACTAGTGAAATAGTACATTAAGGTGTCCAAAATGAAATGCTTGTTTTCTTCATCTTTTTCTTAAAACTCATCAATAATGAGTGATGGCCTCCCATTGCAGTCTTTGTCACTCATGTTCTTGCTTGATTAAACGTTATGCACCATTTTCTCACTGCATACTTATTCAATGTATTATCACCATACACATCATTTGCTCATAAATTTCGACTGACTTAATGTTTAAGCAAGGAATCACACTATTTTTGATCAGTTTGGATTGTTTATATGCTCCTCTATTTTGAAATTTAGAATAGACACATATGATCCCACGAAACAAAAATTCAACCACAGTCATGGTGGTTTTGGGAGACTGGCACGAAGCCTGATGATCAGTCATTTTTTACTTTCTGGATGTTCCTTGTCTATTAAATCAATGACCATGTAATGAATGAAACAATATCTTAACTGTCATTTATAAAACTATATTTTTTTAAATATTTGTCCTTCATTACTAAAATCTTTTAGTCACTTCTTGGCTTATTAGCTAAAATAAAAATTACAAAGAGCTATTAGGTATTATATTAACAGTAATTATTTCTTTACAGTATAAACTTCAATCAAGATTCAACATGGCTTTGTGTCTCAAGTGATCATGGTACTGTCCATATTTTTTCAGTTGAAGACCAAAAACTCAACAAGCAATCAAGGTATTAATTTTTTTGTTTACTATTAAAATTATTCATGTCTTGGAGTTTTATAATATTCTAGTCTCCTGAGAACATTATAAATTCAGAACAGCATTCACTCTTGGGCTTTCCTTACTAGAATGTCCCAGAAATGCCCTTTATTTGTTGTTGGTGAATATAAGAAATGTACATATCTCACTTATGGAGCCATGCAGCCTCAGCTGCTTTAAAGACATTGGATCGTGAGTCTTTGAATCTGATGGTGTGACCATAAGGTCTCAAACAGAAGTGGCAAACACTTAGAAAAAGCCTCAGACTTGACTAGACTGAAGACTACTAACTAACTGGACTGACACAAGACAACTAATGAGTCCCATCACTAGATTAACTACTCAGCACTTCACAATTTTTAAAACCCTTGAACTCCTCCTAACACCCTTAAAATTTAAACGATAAAAGCAGTACAAGGGACTCCATCCCATAAAGAAAAATGTGAAAATCTCAACTACTGATCTTTGGGGATAAGAAAAAAGAAATAAAGAAAAGAAAAATAATACAACCAGTGAACCCACTCAGTAGAATATCAATTCTTCATAAGTCATCTTTCATAAATTTCAAATCCTCATTACTCCCATATAATGCATACCATTTATGCAGTCCAAGGAATTCCATCCCACAAAGTTAAGTTATGAAAATTTTAATAAAACATCGGGTCAAAGAAAAAAAAAAATCAAAATAATATTTGCTTCAAAATAGATTACTACTTCTATTTTATATGAATAAATATACAAATTTTAATATTTGTTAAGTATATAATTATCGAAAAAATTAAACAAATTCAATAATGATTGGTTGTTGTGAAAATCATATAATATTAAAAGATTTATATTAATCTCAGCATTCTGTGACATCAATAAACGAGAGTCCAGGCTAAAAACATTGAAGAAGCAATTCCTTGGTTTGGTACGTGGGATGATGCATTACTATGGCCCGATCTTTAGGGAACTGTGTGTTTATTCTTTTATTGGTGTGTGCACCTCTTGGATGAACCTGTGACTATTTATTCAGGAAATCATATTAGTCGCTACATTGCTCTTGAAAGCGGTTCAGACTAGCATAAACTGGAGATTTTGGCTGCCATTGGATCAAACTTCTTCATCACCCCACCTTCCCACCATCCTAGATTTTGGCTGCCAGTGGATCAAACTTCTTCATCACCCCACCTTCCCACCATCCTAGATTTTGGCTGCCAGTGGATCAAACTTCTTCATCACCCCACCATTCCAAGTCTCACGGGCCATGGCTTGTCATGAAAAAAAAAATCTTATTCTATAAATCACTCTTCAGTTGTGAAATGAGCTTTCTAACAGAAACAACTCATGCGTTAAATGTTGTAGTAACCTCCTGTTTGAGCGAGTTACTTGATTTCATATTTTTTAAAATTTTACTGTGGAATCAAAGAAACTTTCGTGGGCTGAATCTGACCGTGACCCATGGGTTGTAGTTTGAAGACCTCTGGATTAAACCATTGACAACTCTATACTAGTAGTTCATATATGTGATATGCAGCTTCATGAAATGGACTGTTGTCTCAAATGTTCCAAAGAGGACAAAGTATTTGTTTTTTTTTATTGTATCTCTCCAAAAATACATTAGCAAGAGAACTTAGTCCATTTGAAGAATACTGAAATCCTGGTAAAGAATTACGTCTTATAATTTGAAAAGGAATTGGTCGGGGGAGGTGCAGTAAAATAAATATTAAATTGTTGATATAGTATTTAATGTCGAAGTTTTGACCCACTTTGTAGATCTTCATCAGGGTGTGGTATCAGAAATGCAGGAAGCAGTTGGTAAGCTGGACCATACCCTCCCCCTTCCCTTCCCTCCCCCAACCAATTCCTTTCCATATTATATCACAATAAACCATCTCTACACTATTAGGTCTTATAATTATTCGATAAGCTTTCATTGGATTATTTATTCTTCGAATATCATCTCATTACATTCTTAATTAAACTCTTTTTTATTATAAATTATTCCTTTTTTGTCCTAGTAATAGTTTGCCATCTTATAATTGAAGGCTCAAGTGGATAAAGGTGATGAGTTATGTTTTTGAAAAAATAATTATTGATACTTATAGATAAAGGTGTAAAAAAATAATTATTGATACTCATAGATAAAGGTGTAAACTGATATATCTTTAATATTTTCTCCTTCCACTCACATAAATTTAATAATTGGCTCAGAACTCAGTTGATAAAGGTGCCCAATAGCGATACCCATTGTGATGATTATGTACAAATCTTCAAGCTCTCTTGAGGGTGGACCACTTGTTTCTGTTGAGTTCTCTTGAAGCTGTATCTACTTGTGAGTACTCTCTGGTATATTGGCACCTTTAGAAAGTGCCAAGTTCCAATATAAAAATTTGCAGCACCCTGCTGATACGTTTATACAAATTAATATTAAAATTTATTATGTATATTAATAAATATCAATTATTGTTTTAGCCTTGCATCTGCTACATTCCTACCTAAGTACTTCAGTTCCCGTTGGAGCTTTTGTAAATTCCAGGTTCCAGGTGGCCCTCATTCTATCTGCGCTTTTGGTTCAGATACAAATTCTGTTATCGGTTAGTCACTTATCATTTCAAAAAAATATTAATAGTTTAAAAAGTATTAATATTAATTTATTTCTTATTACCTTAAATAACAAAATATTCTAAAAAATGGAGTAATTTATGCTTCAATGATGTTATTTAGAAACCAATAATTAACTGTTTGTATGGTAAAGTGGTTTTAGGGGAAACCATAGTGTTAAATGAGATAATTAACCTTCCGAGCACTATGTCTTCTAGAACGTCATGTATTTCTAATTTTTGGAATGGCATTTGAAGAAATTCTTTGACAGATTCAATGAATTTTTACATAAGCTTTCTGTAATATTTAGAAACAGAACCAGCAATATTATAATGCCTTTTTACCTATCAAGCATGTTTTCTTAAAACCCTCTAGGGTAGAGATAGATTATTATTCTTATTTCCTAACAGAAGGTAACATTGAAAGATTTTATTAAAATGTTAACATTTTTTGATTAGATTAGTTTTGTTTATAGTCTGGTATCCTTTAATCTCCTGTTAATTTGGCATTAACGTTTCAATGCTGATATTCATTTCATTTATGGTTATTCTGATGGAAATGAAAAGCAGGCAGTTGTAGAATATTGTAGATGTTTTCACAATCACTGAGTTCGGATATCTATAGCTATCTATATATATTGAATGGCCTTAAGAAAGGAAAATTCGAGCATTTGCCTGGAGTTGTCAGCCGGGAGCGGGATTTTTACCTACCACTTGTTTAGAATTAAAAAAAAAAATTATGAAGCATATGAAAATAATTAATTTTAGCCTATTAATAAAGCAACTTAATTAGAGACATATTGAATAAAATACAATTCAAATATTACTTAATACAAAAATACAAAACAACTTAAGAATAAATTTAATTTCGTCAAAACCCGTGGGTGCCAATTTTCTAAGGCTGACATTGCAGTTCTTAATAATCATAAAAAAACATACAGGTTAATATGTTTCTTTTTACAAAAAAAAAAAAAACCTTACAAATTATGTTGTATTTGGTTTGTGTAATAGAAAACTCTTTGCAGAAGCCTAGGCTAGAGGTCAATATGAGGCATCCTAGATAATAAAAACAAACTATGAGCTATATGTTAGTTTGTAGTAAAATTCCAAAAGTATGAGCGATGTATCCCTATCTTGAAGAATTTTGACCTAAGTACAAGTACACAAATACAATCTGGAATGGTTAAACTGTTCAAAGGAAAAGTGAACAAAGTCACAACCTCAATATTTTTTGCTGATTTATTGCCTGATTTAAAAAAAAATATATTGATAATGTTACATGATAATTATTTTGTTATCAGTATTTATTAATTTGTTTAATGACGTATTTTTCAAATCTTTAAAAGAAAACAAATATAAAATTTATAACAATTCACTCTATAATTGCCTTTCATTATATCTTCAATGATTATTTATTTTCTTCCCTGCACAAAGGTGCAGAAGTTCAGGTAGTTTTCACTTTTAATCTTTTGAAACCTTTTTTTTTGCCCATTGAAGATTAATTGACTTATACCATCCTGATGTAAACTCCTCAAACATAGTGGGTAGGTCCTCGTGTCAGGTTTATTTCACAGTATTATTTTTTAATATGTTTTAGTGATTTGTGCTGATGGTAGTTACTACAAATTCATGTTCAATTCGAAGGGAGAATGCTGGAGAGATGTTTATGCTCAGTTTCTTGAAGGTTCAGAACCAAGCATCTAAGGAAGATGTCTGTAGTATGGTATTACATTTTAAATTGTTATATGGCATTCATTTTTCTTTTCCCTTGAAGCAAATAATGAAGATATATTTTATTTATTATTCATCATTTTAAAAATAGATTTCTTATACTCTTTATCTAACAGAGATAAGTTTTCTATTAAATTAAGCTGTAAAAAAGCTTTTAAATTAAGTTGCGCCAATCAATTGTTATGTAAGACTGACAGTAAATGAGAATTACTTTGTATTTTTAGAATGAAACATTATTCCCTTGAAGTCAGGAAAAAATAAAAAGGACAAGTAATATTAACTTATTATAAATTTATTACCAGTAAATAAATAGTTCATTATTGTGATGAATAGTGAATTTCTTTTTTAGATATTTTGTATTGTTTTCCTTTTCATTTTGATATATAAACTAATATAAGTTATTTTGTATTTAAAAAAAAAACTTATCGACCCTATTTTTTTTATGATAAAAAATAAAATTGTTCTTATATTGAATGTTGATACTGTATTACCATAAATGGCTCATAAAGAAAGGATTAAAGGTATATTGTGCTATTTTTGTGTACAAAGTTTGTAAAAATAAATTATTTTTGTAATGTATATTTTAGTTTACTATTATTATTTTTTAAAGGAAGATAAAACCGTAGAATACAACTGGTAATCTGTAACACACCAAGACTGAAACCCACTAATGAGTACGGTTTCCGTAAAACTAGTTGAGATGTTTTGATGTGTTGCTGAAATAAACCTGCATAAGGCCGACATTACATTATTGAAGTTCTCTGATAAAGACCTTTTAGAAAACTTTAAATAAAAGTTATACATGAAAGAAATATTGTGACCTCAAAAAATTTTAAGTTTTGTTAAATTGCAGCTAAAAATAAAGAAGTTGCTGTAGCTTTGGTAGCCATCAATAAAAAAAATTCTTTTCTTCTCCAACCCAAGAGGATGTTTTGGGATCAATACTTTGTAAGGAAGTGCTGTTTCTTGGTCAAGAGTTGTGCAAGGAAGTGATCTGACCGGGTTATACTCAACCAATTTTTTCCTTACTTAATTATTTAATTAAGAGTAGCCACTTTGTAGAGGCTGAGGTGTCCTGTGGTTGATCCATTGCTTGTATAACAGAATAAAAAAATGTCTGCCATAGCTGGGACTTGAACCCAGAACCTGGAGCATATATTATCATAATATTATAATATTACTCACTGAACTATATTACATAATGCCATTACTACTGAACAAAAATATGAAAAAGAAATTATGGTTTAAACCACAAAATTTTATTCTTATTTCAAGCAGATACAATTAGCAACTAGCTTGCAGATGTTTGATGTTTATTATTATCTAGTAACAACTGCTTTTTTTCCATTTCTTCTCTTAACTGACAAAATTTGAGGTGAAATTCAAAGAAAAATCCTAAAGTTTGCTGTTGTAATCATTATTTTGAACGTGTTATAAGAAATTTTATCATTTGTACAGACATTTAAAACTTCATTACTGCCACAGCCAATCTTTGGTCTTTCGAACCACCTCTGTAAATATTTTATAAAATATTAAGCAAAGAATTTATCTATAATTAAACAAATTTTATAGTAGTTGAGCTATTATTCTGCCATATTTCTTGTCCAACTTGTTTTTTTTTATAGATATGTGACTTTGTAAGCTTTGATAGTGTAATGTTGGCCTTATATCCCTCCATTCAACATTTAATTCTTGTGATTCCTCCTTTCCTGAATCATTCTTCCATTTTCATCGACTACTTTGTATGCAGTTTATTAGCATTGCACGCAGTATTGTTCCGTACTGCCATGCCCTCCACTTACATCATCTCACCCTTGAACTCTTATATTTCATCTCTCAAACTAAAACTATGAATTAAAAAATATAAAAAAAAAAAACAGTACTTGCATTTGATGGTAGCTTTATATAAATCACTGCTGTCGATTTCAAACTGATTTAAAAAATAAAATAACTCACATGGAGGTCTTTTTCAGTGGAGGCTCGAAAAATAGTAATATTACTTTTAATAGAGACAGTTTCTAATCCTCTCTCTAACTATTCATTATAATGTTATTATGAGTTTACATTTCTTTCATTGGGGCAGTGTTGACTAATTGTTTCCCCTTAATAATGAAAAAAGGCTCTTAATCTCTTCATTGTTTGTACTGATAGGTGATTAGCCAATTTTGGTTGGTGAGCTGTGGATTGCCAATATATATTCGAAAGTTAACTTTTTTATATATATATATTTATGTTAATAAGTTTATGTAAAACAAACTATTTTGTATTAGACTTCTATTCACTTTTGTATTGGGTTGTCTGTTAAATAATGCAGAATTTTGGTTAAAAAGAGATTTATAACTGCTTTATTTAATCAAAATAGTCTCCACTACTATCAATACATTTCTGCCAACGTGTTGACAACTTTACCATTCTCTTGGAATAGAATTTTCCATCTTCAAAATTGATAACTACAAAAACCCATTTTCTAATTCCCTTTGTCCATTAAAGTTTTTGTCACGTAAGTAGTTATCCAGGTTTCTAAAAAAAATGATAATCCGTAGGTGAGATATCCGAAGGGTAGGGCAGATGTGGCAGAGTTTCAAATCCTAGCTCAGTTTTTGTGATGTCACAAAATGTGGCCGGGCATTGTCATGCAACAAAATGGGCCCCTTCCGATTGACCATAGATGGTTTCTACAGGATTTAAGAAGCTGTAGTGTATCAAACTAGATGAAGCCCACCAAACAGCAACCATCACCTTTTTTTGATGAGTTGGGACCTTAGGAAAATGTTCTGCTGCTTCTCCTTTGTCGAGCCACAGTCCAGAACCTCTACTATTATCATAAAGTATTCACTTTTCATCAAAAGTAACAATTCTGGAGAGAAAAGGAGCACTTTGGCAAAGAAGTCTAGCACAAACTTCATAATGCTGGTTTTTTTTTTACGGTTGTTTAATGTGTTTGTGGAATTTCAAGTTTTTTTACTTTTCCAATGGCCTTGAGGTGGTCATCGACGATCAATTTGCTAAGGTCAAGTTTCTCTGCAAGTTCTCGAACAGTGGTTCTGGGGTTTCCTTGCACCAAAGCCCACAGAACATAGTCATCAAGAGAGGAACTCCTTCCACGGGCATCTTAGTCTTCAAGATTGAAGTCTCTCTCCCAAACTTTTTTGTACCACTGTTATACAGTGCACTCAATAATGCTGCTCTCGTCCCAGACTTGATTGATGTTTCTGGCTGAGTTATCTTAATAAAGACTGAATTATTTCTAAGCAGCAAAATGCTACAGAGGTAAATAAACATCATCGTTTGGAAGAGGATTAATAAATGTTGACATTCATACAAATGAATAATACCGTAAATGTAAACAGTTTGTGATATAGAGAGGTATATTAAAGAAAACTCAAAATCCTGCATTATTTTTCAGACAACCTAATAAATAATATCCAAGCTACATTAGACTTATTTATTTATAGATAATTTTAGTGTATCATTATATTTAAGTGTTATTTACTATCTCCTTTTATTTTACTAGTAGTAGTTGTGCACTGTATAGCTTCTCTTAGTGTTGAAAATTAATTTAAGAATTCTGTGATAAAGGTTATAGACTTTACTTATTGAACATTTTGCTAGTCGAAAAATGAATAAATTGTTTGGTTTAATTTTATAGTTCATTTGTTGTATTTAATTTAATATTCTCTAATATCTAGCAGTTTTATAAAGGTAACCGTATAATTTACATATGGACTAAAATCACAACTTTCAAAACCCTAAAGACTTTGTACTTCTTTAAAAATTGAATTTTCTATATTTCTACCTTCAACAATCCTTTGTTATCTGCTTTACCACATTCTGGAATTCTCTACCACTTCAAATCAGACTTGCCTCACCCTTTTCCACAATTATAATCTTCCTATTCCACTTCCTCTTTGTTAAGCCATAAGACACTGGTTAACCATGTATCATAAAATGTTTTGTTATTCACATTTTATGTATTAATATGAATTTAAATTTTGTATGATTTAATTTTCTATATTGCTATATTGGTTCCCAAGGTTGTAGCTGGTCTAACCTTTGTTTTAGAAAACATAAATTTGATTTGCTAAAACAAAATTCTTTCATCATTATAATTTAAGTTCTGAAATTTGTTTAAGAAATATCATACCACTGATCTTATATAAAATATGTTGATGAATCTTATTATTTACAAAATGAGTGAAATGAAAGTGATAAAGGTGTTTCTAACAATGCAACCTTTTCAAACAAATAAAATATTAAATTATACTGGTTCTTCAGATCGTTATATTTCAGAGATTCCAGAGTCGTCCTACTGACACATTTTCATTCATTGCTCTATCTATCTTTGCCTCCATTTTCTCTAGAATAGGTAGGCTGGTTATTCTATAGTTTTTGACCCTTCATATTCAATGTACCCAATCGGGCTCCTTGTATGCTATAACAATATGTGTCTTTATAGTCTGTCATGCCATAAGTTCTAAGATTTAGAAGAAAATTCGCTGAATTCTTCTCATTAAAGATTATAAGTAAAGTAGTTGGAACGTGAGATACATGCCGCGGATTCTAAATGACAAAAGGCTCCAGACTTTCCCGATTAAGACAAGTGGGGACCCTTCGTGGTAACATTTTGGGACTCTTCTGAAAAAAAAAAAAGGTTTCTTATAAGACATAAATTAAACATTTTATTTCTAGATTTGTTCAATTATTTTATGGATGGTTTATCAAGGCTTTTCATTCATTTTCATATTTCTTTTTGGATCCTGTGCAGTCACTTACTGCTTAATTCGCTTCCCTTTGGCATCGTATCCTTCCGAATGGCCAACATTAGAAATTTGGAAACTAACATTATTCTGAGTTGCTAGTAGTTCTAATGAACCCATACATCTCTTCCCCAACAACTGTGATGGCAAATTTTAAGTCCTCCAAAATATATATATATATATATTTGACAAAATCTTAACTTCTCCACTGTTAAAACTCATTCCATTGTCTGTTTGATTTTATCAGCTAATACTTAGTAAATGATAAAAGCTTGGAATGAAATAGAGAAAGATTTTATTTAACAGGTACAATGTTATACATCAACTTTAGGTTTCTGTACCATTTTAGATTTTTTTTAATACCAATGATATATGGTGTTTTTTAAAAGATTTTATTAACAATTTTTTAGTTTAGAACACAACTTTCAGGTTTTGGTATATTTAATATACATTTATAAATAACTGGATACAACCTCAAGTTGAAATACCACAATTTATTTATATATAAATATATATATATCTTACATAATAAAAAGTATTCAACGAAAACAGGTTTGTGAATAAAATCCTCATCGGACAAAACAGTAATAAAAAAACTGGAACTTTATACATGATCTGAAAAAAAATAATAAAATTGTGGTTCCTGCGAGTTTTCTAAACAGTCTTACTATATATTGTGAAATCAATAACAAATGAATATTCACAACGGCATGGTAGTGGTTTCAGCATTTAAGTAACAATAGTTCCTTAATAACAAATATTACTTATGTATAAAATAATCAACTGGAAGAATACCTTATTTGACAATTATATATAAAAAAAAACACTTTCAATTTTGAAATTTTCATTTTATTGATCTGGTTCATCATTAAAAAAGTAAAAATGGGAAAATAAACGAAACCAGCCAGCTGTAAAATATGTGACTAGATACATTTATAAAACCAGGAATTGATACATATATATATATATTTCTTCACTTTCGAACAAAACAAAACATGGAACAATGACTTAATGTTAGCAGAAACCAATATTTAACAACATTCATACATAAACATTCAAATGACCCACAAATTTTGTTAACTATAATTACACACTACTATTTACACACACTAAGCAGTCTAACTCCTTCAATTCTTGAATAAAAAAAATAATAAAAAAAAAATAAACAAAATCTTTTCGGCCCATGATATCTGAATAATATACAATTTCATCAAAGGCCTTTCATTAACTATTTACAAAACTTAGGAGTGAGCCTGCGTTAGAACCTGGCCCACCCGAATATCACAGGGGCGAAAACTGCATTCATCAATGCATCTCAAAATATTTTAAAATCAATTACATTTATACAAAAATATTAAAAATTCTTTTCAATTTGACTTCAACTATATTATAAAAAGTGCACACATGAATTCCATGGGCCAGGCAATTTATATCAGTTTTGTGTGCATTTCACTAGTTTTTAACCTATACTACTTACAAAGTCTCCCAAAATAAATACAATTTAACAATACCATATTTTAAGTAAAGCCGATACTCAATTACTGTGAAAATTCTCCTTAAATGGCACTTTTTAAACAAGGCCATAACCATGAACAATAAGTCTTGAATTTACACTTCACTTCAATCAATGAATTTATACAATCCAAATTAAAATATCTAACTTGATTTTACATATATATACAATGTATATGTATATATTAGCATAAATATATACACAGGAGAATGTTCACAATGGATGGAGATGACAAATCTTTAATTACATTTAACAGTAAAATTATTTTAGGGCAAGCTTAACAAATTTTACACATATATATCATATTTACACATTTGCCCAATATTATTACGCATATGAATTAAACATAAATTGTTTGAATCAGACAATATTATAAAATCAATTGATTTTAGAACAATGCTGTATCAAATAACTTTTATAACAATAAAATTTACACTGTTTACATTTATTTCCTTTCCACTTTCAAGTCCAAAAACTAAAAATAAAATAAACCAACTATCTGACAAATAAAAGGAACATAGTTACAAATTTACAGTAAAAGGCAAGGATCTGTAAATCAACCACACAAATTGGAGTCCAAGCCAAGTTGGTATAAAAGAAAATTTTTTCACTTTAATTACTTTAAATTAAACCTTAAATGGACTCTAAAATGAAAATTAAAAAAAAAAAATACAAAAATTAATTACATATTCTACAATGAAATGCATTTTATGCAAAGATAAAATATTTAAACCGAAAATTGTATTTCGGAAAAATTTCAATAATAATTTACAAAACAAAACTGTGCCCATAAGTCAGTCTGTGTTAGTAAGATTAGTCATTAAGCAGAGCAGGGCGTATACTTTATCTATGCTGTGTCGTTCTTCTAATTGCTTTTCTAACCCTCCTCACTTCAGGAACTGCTTCTCCTGTGCTGTTTGGAACAGCTGCTGCCCTACAGGAACAAAAGATGAAAACAATAGCCATTTATTAAATATTTTAACGTTTTCCTAAATTTATTTATAAATCAATAAATAATTATCTTTAATTTTAACATGGTATAAAAATGAAGTACACCCTGAAATATTTATAATATGAAATAACTGACATGAAAGAGTTATAATAAACTCCAGTGTATGTTGTTTGTTTTTAATGTTCATAAATAACTTTCTGTTTTCTAGAAATCTAACTTTTCATATCCCTGAGAGTCCTTTCCAAGGAACACTTGGCAACCAAAAAATCTCGACTACTTAGGAGTTTTTTCTTCCTATAACTCTTAAAGGGTGCAGCCCCAAACAAAGAAGTTACTCTTTTAAGAAATTAAAGAATGATTAATTAATACTACAGCAAAATTAATACTACAACTTAATAATTTCATTACGTAGTATGGTTGAAAACCTTAGTTAACAAACGATGATTTTCATCAATTGTGCCATAAACTGAGATAAACTTCTACAAATGATTCTTCAGTAGTGAAATAAGAAATTTGCTAAATTTCATTTTATTATTTTATAAATAATTTCAAAAATTTTACACAAATAGTTAATGTTTCAATAGTAATACCCTTATTTTCTGATATTTGTTTTGAAACAAAACTAATTCTTTTTCTCATTTAATGAATTATTTAAATCTTTCTTAGTATATAATTGATCATTTTTTGTTGCTATTGAAAAATGAGATTCAGCTAATTATTTCAAATAAAAGAAATCGCAGGTATACTTTAGAAGCCATTTTGAAAATTCGGCACTAGAGCTGTTTCAGACCATTTAAATGAAGATAAGACGACTTAACATATTTTAAAACCAATTAATTGCACATTGATATAACGAGTTTAATCAAACAGAGCCATTTTTACAGAAATTGGTAAAAATATGTGGATACAATTAATAACGTAAATTACCTTATGTGTTAAACAAATTTTGATAAAAATACTGCTGCCAAACATACACCTACCTTAAATATTTTATTTCGGCTTTGTTCAACTTATCGTTTTTGAGATAATCTGTCAAATACACTCATTATTTTGTGAAACTTGGCCAGTTGGATCTCAAAAATTGTATTTATGCTGAAAACTCGGAATTTTTCCATGATCGCAAAATACGGAGAAAATAAAATAAATGTTACAAATAATCAATTTTCAATAAAAACGTGTAAAGTCAATTCAATATATCCAACTTTAATTTAATATAATAAAAAAAGAATTATAAAAAAATACTTACGAAAAGGAAGGTGTAGCACCACCAGTAAAATTAAATGAAGGCTTAGCATTTGGATCAAAAACAGGAGCAGAATTCGAAGGTGCAGCAAATCCACCAAATGCAGGCGTAGTTGTTGCACCAATACCAGTACTCTAATAAATAAATATTTTTTAAAATTTTTTGAGAGAAAAAGATACTATTTAATGTCAAGATAAATTAATGGAGAAGGTCAACTATAGATACAGATCCAATAATTCCTTTCGGAAAATAATACAACTGGGTACTTGTATGGAGAATAATAATTTGAGCTGTGATAGAATTCAACTAATAAAGACTGTATATAAGATCGAGAACGTACTTTTAAAATAGTAAAAAAAGTTAATGTTCAGCTAAAAACATTCTCTCAAAGTTATGATGGGTACTGCGAGTGTGACTCATATCCACTTTAGTACGTAAACATATTGCTGTTAAACATAATACTTCAAAATTTCTATCAGCTCTAATTTATTAATATGGATTTATAAAAGCTAAGATAATATATTTCACACTAAATATTTCTATTTAAATACAATAGGGTTAACCAAAAAATTGAAAGCTATATCTGAAGTGGAAGTTTTGAAGCTGTAAACAATATTATAAGCTAAAAAGTAGAAGATATACAATGTTATGAGCTAGAATTTGACATATGATGTAGTGGTGTCTCCATTCTCGAGACATAGCTCCATTCCTATCACTTTTCTTATCTTACAAATATGTGTTAGGAAATGTTGGGATTTATTGCATTTTTATTTTATAACTTAATCTTAACGACTCAGTTTAGTACCAAATTTTGCCAATACCAACTAAATAGGATGGACGAAACTTTTTTTTTTTTTTTATATGTCAGGAAGAATAAAATCAATAATTCATCACCTTTGTAATATACTCTTTTTAAAAAATTTATTTCATAATTGCTTTTTCACTCGATCCTTCCAAAACAAGATGGAGTCCACCGAGGTCCCCTAATGACATTTTGACCCTCCATTTTTTTTTTTTTTTTTTTTTTTTATACTATGCTCGTAAAACAGAAACATTTATTTTTTGAATTATTTTATCTTCCTTCGGTGCCATATATTATTTCACTTGACATATTTTAATAAAAATAATAGGAAAGATTAAATATTATATTATTATTTTGATGTATACAGGATCCCAATCTGCAATCAGACTCGCTAAAGTCACCAACACTTAATCTCATTTCTTCACCGGGTTTTGCAAGATCCATTACAAGGAAAATTGTTTAGTGATAAGTACATTTAAAAATTAAAAATTGATTTCAACTGGTTATTTAGGAGGGAATTTTAAATAAGAATAAAATAAATATCTATAAATAAGTCCAGAAAATGATACTATAGTTCAGAGATGACCAACCTCTTATCAACCGTGTACCCTCATTCCTGTTTCCTGCCATCTTCACAATAATTATTTATGGTGTATCCGCTAGTATTTTAAAATATCTACTTTTGTAATTCTTGTAGTTCTTGAGGATATGATTATATAATGAAAATAGTTGATAATTATTAATTATACAATAAAATATATGTACTGGTAAAGTAATTTTGTTAACGATATCAAACAAGTAGAGCCTAACAAAAAAATTCTTTAATCTAGAAAGAGGACTTCTTTCTTTTATTAAATGGAAAAATTAAGAATAATTACTGTCCAGATTCCAAACACCATGTGGTGGTAGGTAGGTGGGTGTGCCTTACTAAGGTTGGGCACACTGCTATAGTTAATTGATACAATCAAAGAAAAACTAAAATATTTATCAAGTCTAGGAATGAAATGAATAAAATTAAACCAATAATATTCACCTCAACATTTTTTTTTTTTTTAGTTTATCAAACCAAAATAAGGCAAAGAAAAATCTTTCGAAACCTTACCTGTTGAGGAGCAGCAGTGAATGTGAAGAAGGAAGGTGGCTGCTGCTGAGGTGGTGCACCAAATACAAACGGTTTAGGTTCTGACTGCTGACTGAACAGTGAAGGTGCTGGTGCTGGGGGAGCCTGCTGTGGTTGCTGTTGATTAAACATCGGCAATCCTGAACTAGGCTGTTGGCCTCCAAATGGTTCTGTAGGAGCAGATGCTACAGCATTGAATGTGAACTGCCCTCCTTGGTTACTTTGTGAATTTCCAATGAAAGAAAATGGTTTGTTTTCAGTTTCCGGAGGTTTGAAGCCAGTAAATGATCCTCCAAAAATATTATGTGTGTTGGAATGTTCATTGTTGGCAAGGTTAATAGTATCACTAGGAGGTGCACTAAAACTAATAGGTTTAGATGGTTCAGATAAAGATGGTTTCAAAACAGCATTGGGTTCAGTACTGCCAAATATAAAAGTATTTGGAGCTGGTTCTTTGCCAGGTTCCTTGGATGCAGTAGAATTATTTTCAAATGGAGATTTGGTTGGAAAAGTGAAATTTGTTGAACCATCATTACTTTTTGATATTACACTACCAAATATTGAAGAATTGGTATCATTGCTGATACGCTTTTCAGAAACCAGGGGTTTCCCAAAACTGACTTTTTTCTTAAGAGGCTTTTCATCATCGACAGAAGTATCATCTGTTTTATTTCCTTTGGCATTACTTCCGAAGGAAAACAAATTGGAGACAACAGGTTTTGGTGGTTCACTCTCCTTAGGCTTGTCTGAATTCATGAAAGTGAATGTTGGCTTACTTTCATTGTTAGGCTTAGGTTCATTGGATCCAAATTTGAAAACAGAAGTAGTACTTTTCTTCTCATCTGGCTGACTTCCAAATGTAAACTGAGGTTGAACAGCAGTAGTTTCTATCTTTTGAGTATTTAAATTCAAGCCTATCTGTAAATTTGGAGTAGACGACGAATTTGTACTAGTAACTCCAAAAGAGAATGTTGGTTTAGGCTTTTCTACCGGATTCGCTCCAGGCTTAGGTGCAGTACACGACACACAACTATTGACATCGTTTTCATTCTGAACTAGACAGGAGTTACATTCCCACTTATTGGATTTTTTGAATGAATTAATAAGTGGTGGAAATGAGGCATTGGTTTTTGGCACGGAATCACTTTTCTGGTCTGTACCAAACTTAAAGCCAGCATTTTTAACTTCTTCATTAGAGCTTCCAAAAGAAAACTGAGGTGGTTTCTCAGTGGCATTATCATTTTTCTGTGCGTTTGGATTAGCTTCAAATTTAAAGCCACTAGATTCATTAGATCCAGGAGGAATGCCGAAAGAAAATGTAGGCTTAGGTTTTTCAACAGATGCAGACCCAGGTTTTGAAGCATTACAAGCAACACAACTAGTAACATCAGATTTGTTTTGTACCCAGCATGCATTACATTCCCACTGTCCTGGAGGCTTTTTAATAGAATTGGCCATGGGAACAAAATTAGCAGCAGTTTTAATCAGTGGATCAGTTTTATTTCCACTAGAAGAAAATGTTAATGCAGCAGGAGTTACAGTAAGAGTATTAACAGAGTTCTGAGGTTTTCCACTTTTAGGAGTAGAACAAGACACACAAGCATCCGATGAATTTTTATTCATTACAAAACATTCTTTGCATTCCCATGTATCGGCAGGTTTTTTATAACCTTCAAATCCTTTCAGAGGAGCCTTGGCAAGTTTGTTTCCTTTTTCTAAGCTATTAGATTTGTTTTTCTTTTCTGAATTTTCATCAACAACTGTGCTCTTTTTACTGTCTAATTTGGATTCAGATGCATTGTCTTTAGTATGTTTGATAGATCCAATAGAATTTTCACAAGAGCACTTACCTTTAATTTTATCATAATTTATCTTACATTTACTACACTGTAAACTCTTTTCAGAATGTTTTAGAGTTTCAACTTTTTCTAAGCTTGCATTATTTTTGTTGAATATTTCAATAATGCTACCAGTTTTCATCTCAGAAGACTTTTTCAATTCAAAGTTTTTGGTTTCCTTTTTAGGATTAGATTCAGTGGATTTCCTTTTAAGTTTAAAGTTTGGAGAAGATACTTTCATTTTTAGAGTGTTTACTTCATTAAGATTGTCTTTCAAAGGAAATGAATTTTGAGATAAAGGAGATTTGAGGGTTTTCTTATTTGTCTCAATTGAGGTAAGAGGTTCACTAAATTTGAAAGCATTGACATGGAAATTTGGAATAATCTTCTCAGAAGAAATCTTTTCTAAAGTTTCGGGTTCTGAAAACTCAAATTTTGGTAAGCTTTTTGAAACTGTCACTGAATTATTTTTTGGAGATCCAAGTTTAGCTTGTGTTGAAGTTTTCAAGTCAAATTTGGGCAGAGATGTTATTTTTAGCTGCACATTAGGAAGATTTAATTCTGGTACTCTTTCTGTTTGAAGTTCTTCATCTTTTTGGCGTCCTTTAATACTTCCTATGTGCGCTTCTTTTGTGCTTTCTGGCCTGTAGAAAAAAAAAAAGTATATAATTATATCTAATTTAACAGAACATATAAATATAAAAATAAAAGTATATAATTAACAAGTTATGATTAAATGGAAAATTTTATTTACTTTTACCACTGCATCTGTAATTAATATATTCTAAACTCAATTATCGGAGTAGTGACAAATGGTGTAAACAAAAATAGGAGCTGAGAAGGTACACTGGTTGACCCTCTGCTAAGTGTTACGGAGGCTAAGCCACTATTGTTAGCCATTTAGGCCACCAAGAGTCCCTGGGATCTATATATTACTCTAATACAACAGTATTATGTTTTCTTAATTTATTTAATTATAATCTATGAAATCCCACTCACAGACATAATAATCTTTCTTTTATTACCTTCAATCACCGATAAAAATTACTTCTATCATTTTATGATATAATAACATTTTTTCCCCTAAATAAAATATTCTTTAATGCAAAATGGAAGAGGCGGGGACAGGGGTACTGTATACACAGTTTGCCAGATGATATTTTTGGTTACATATTTGGAGCCACAAACACTTATTATATTGAATGTAAAACTGCTAAATTTTCCTTTCAAATAAATTTCTATAATTTTTTTACCGAAAGACTATAATGTCAGATATGATGTAGGCAATACAGTCATCACAAAAAAACATAAAAGTAAAAAATTAAGTAATTATTATTTTAACAATTACCAACTATTCATAGAAACCATTTGAGGTTATTGAAGAATTACTGCATTTTAATAATGAACCAAAATCAAGACAATACTAAAATGCTTACAGAGTTTAAAATTACCTTGGTTTGTCCATCATGTATCTTTTCTGAGCAAGCAATTATTTATTGTACCTTTTAGGTTTTAAAAGATAGCCAGATTCATCTCAGATCAATGAAATGGTGTGTGCAGCAGGTAGTACATGATGCATTTTGTGCCCCCATAATTATTGAAGGGGATACATTTTGATTGGGTAATGAATTTTGGAGGGAACCATATTTATGGGGTTTTCAATTTGGAAGAACTTTCAAACCAGTGTACAAGAGAAAAAACAAAGATCAGACCGCAGAATGCCATTGAATATAAATGACAACTGGTACGGCCAGTTTTCGGCATCCATAAGGAAACTTTTAAACCCTTTTGACCCAATTTCAATCTGATGGGTATTTGGTAAAACAATTTTGATTCTGTTAAGTCAGTAAACATCTCTAGTTTCAATATACACATACATGTGAAACAATGTATTTTATTTATTTTTGTATAGTAACTCCCCAGGGTGCCAAGGGAAAATTCTAAAGTTAAAAGCCCTCAGGCACTAGAATTTGACCCGTAACCTTTGGTTTATCATGCCAGCCAACACCTGTTTTACAAAACATGTCAGCCCATAAAAACAGCCTAATTACCATAGATTGATAAATGACATTGATAAAGTCTTTCTATTCTACGGAAAGAACTACTGGTTTTTAAAACAAAAAAAACCTCTAAGAGGTATCTTAATACTTGGATATAAGTCCACTACTTAGAGAATATCCTAATTGCAATACATGAAAAAAACTTATGAATAATCCAAATCGTTTAGACATACATGCCAGTCATTCATTTGCATAAAACACTATGCTTTTAAACGCAAGAGTACGCAGGCGACACCGCTATTGTGATTAGAGGAGAGTATCAGAGGAACCAAGATCTTCTGGAGAAGTTACGGAGATTAACCTGTCTACCTGTTTAATAATAGAAATTTACATTTTTGATGATAACTGGTGCACAAAATCAAATTTGACTACTGCTATAGAGGTAATGAATAACAATTCCCCATTACATCTGCCAAGAAGAAAAGGAGCATAACCAAAAGATGTTCCTTGATGATTCTGAGAGAGTAGAAGCAGACTCTTGCTCAATCAGGAAAGGGTATCCATAAGTAGAGTTATGTTATCTATAAGTCACTTTAAACTGAATAGTCAAATATTTAAACTCAGGCTGACAGAATCAGCTTGGATGAAATAGCTTTTCATATAATCTGTTAGTGACAGGTTTGCTAGGATTAGGTTCAAGGACTGTGTAGTGGATCCTGAGTACTGTGAACCTGTCAATCTCATAAGCCTTCTAAAATTTGCAGATGCAGCAGAAGCAATGTTTTAAACACTGTGAGATTGTTCCGTCAGACTATAATTTTACATTATGATTACAAGAACTAATGAAATAGAATTGAATTTGAATATTGATGGGGGCTGGTGAACAGTGATATATACAATGATTGTTGTTCGTATTGGTATTAAACTTTCGGTTTCTCTAATATTTTAATTACAATTAAAAAGAGCATCTTACCTTAATGAATAATCTGCATTGGTTGATGGAGCGGGTGCCATCTGTTTAGAAACCGATGGAACTGAAAACCCAGATCCTGAGGAGACTGCTGCAGAGGTTGACGGTGAAGGCTGAGGTTCAGTCTCTGAAATTGTAGGTTTGTTCACAACTTCACGTCGCTTTAAACTCAGTAGCTCAGGCATGCTTGGAAAAATTAGTTCTTCGTAGGGTTGTGGTGGTTTTCTTTTACGTAAATTAGCTCCTTCAGTTCTAACCGGTATCTTTTTAGCATCTAACACCTAATAATCATAACAAAAATTTTATATGGATAGTATTTTAAGAATTTAAACAGACAATCATACTAATATTATACATAACTACTAAATACAGTGAACCAAACAAATAATCAAATGATGATATTTTAGATTTTAAAATTATCACATAAATAAACTTAGCAAACAAATAAGTTATTCACTGTTCATCTGTCTACTATACATTCATTTAGCTATATAATATATACTGGTCATTTTTATCTTTTCCAAGGTTTTGGCAATTTCTTTCTCGTTCGCTTAATGTATTTTTCCAACTTTATATTTTTAATAATTCATTCAATATTAAAATTTCTTATTTATTTATGATATAGTCCAACTTCTGCACAAAATAGAGGAAAATTAATTTTTTAATTAGTGATATATGAATTTTACTAAACAACCCGGTAGCTATTCATTATATATAGTTCAGATTAGGTATATATTATTTTAGTTTATAAAACAGATATTAATATGGCTCATTTCCTGAGAAGTATATACAAATTTTAATTACCTCTAAGAATCAGTAAATATACAAAACACAGTGTTAAATTGCAAACGTTAAATAAAAAAAAATCAAGATATTTAGCAAAGTATTTTTTAATTAAGCTTTATTATTATAATTATATCATTGATTGAGGTCTTCTTAAACTACCTACATATAGAATAAAGTAGGTTAAATTAAAAAAAAATAATAAATTTTTTTTTTTCTTTACAATTGAATTATTGCATTAATATTTGTTCGTTAATAAAACCAATATAATGTACCAAAAATGTTATGATATCACTATAACTAAGCCATTTATGTGTACTGAATGGTGTGGTAGAGGCCTGTAGGCACCCACGCCAGTACCGCTTTTCTGCCGCGTAAGTGCATTTTATACGGAACTGCTTAAAATTGTTTAAAAAATAATCAGTGTTTTAGAAAGAGAAATATATTCTCCAGATGTTTTATTTCAGCACGTTTTGAGTTATTGTAGGCTGTTTAATTACAAACTACGCTTGATTTGTAATTAGAAAATTTTTTTGTTAAAAAAATTGACTTTACTGGTGTTTTTCATAGCCTAAGGCAATTATTTTTTTAATATTTCTTCATGTTTTATTATTCTATGACTATTCAGCTTTAATAAAAGACCAACCATGAGGAAATTAAGCCAAATACTGATTCTCAGTGACCAAAAAACTAACTAAAGTCAAAGTCGTCAATCCGCCATCTTTGGACGCCATTTTGGGGCAGTGCGTTCACTGAACATTGGCTTTTTTTAAATAAATAGTTACAAGGAACACAACGATATGCAATTTATAGGGATGTGGGAAGGGGGGAGTGCACGGTAAGGGGGTCTGGCCCACCGTGTAGATGTCCCTCAAGATGATTGATGGTTTCAGGTAGATTTTAAATCAAAAGAGTAATCTATCTTTCAACCAGTGTACATTGTTGAGCATCATATTTGTCAAAAAGTCTTAATGTAGTTAGTTAATTGAATGCTCCGTTTTATTGGTTGAATTTTTCCAATGAAATTATAAGTGTAGTTTTTTTTTTATATATTGATTAAATAAATTATTTAATCTCCATTGTTCATTTGCTTTTAGGTTTCACAAGATTAGTTTGTGATCCAACTTTTTTTGGGACCACAGCGGGAATACATAATCAGTAGTTAAATAATATAAACTGAGTTCTTGAGAAGTGTAAATAATTAACAATTATTTGTGGATAAATTGAGCTAGTTTCATTAGTGAATATTAATTATTTTTTCATCGCTAACATTGTATTTACAATTCACACTTTATTCAACATACTAAATGATTATTACTTCACAGTAAACAGGTAATGAAAAAATTGCATAAAGTGAAATCATTTGAAATGCGTATACGTCACACTATAGTAATAGTACACAATAAAAAAATCATGGAAATCATGTCCTATAAAGGATTAAGAAGGCTATAGAAGACCTCAAGAAATACGAAAAAATTCAAATAGACCATTTGACTACAACATGATCCGAATTCCATACAGAAAAATATGGAATTCAGTTTTGAGTTTTTAAAAAATAAATCGTGTTTTTCATTGAATAGGAAGTGATAATTAAACTTCTTTTAATTTTGGTAATTATCAATAGCTTCACAGTAAACTAGAAAAGATTCCTTTCCTATACAAGTAGAATTTATCTCAATTAACAACACTTTTTAGCAGCTAAACAATGCTGAGTTCTGTTTCTCATAAAACCATAAATCAGCCTGGTGAATCTCAGATACTACCTCAATTGAAAAACTTTCTTGTTTGATAAGCTTTATGTCTACATTAATTAATTTGAGATTTATCTAAGCTAAGATTTGCTGCCAGTGTTGTCTGTACATTGAAAAGAATCAACCTGTTTTATGATATCTTTCCGTTTCATACATTGCAACAAAATGTTGATATTATATTAAGGTTTGCTTGACTTAAAACATAGGCTATAAATGAAAAAAATAAATATTGAGTATAACCAAAGTTATGGATTCTTGATCAATTTGTCAAGAGATGTCGGTTAATGTTGATAATAAATTTTAATAATAAACATATGTTTATAGGTAAAAGAATATCTATATAAATAAAATAAAGGTTTCGTCTGAACATTGAATAGAATCAACCCGTTTCATGATATCTTTCCATTTTATACATTACAGACACCAAATCAACTTTAAAAAAAATGTTTGTCTAGATGCCCGCATTGTCCACCGAAATTTTGATATTATATTTAGGTTTGTTTGACTTAAAATATAGGCTTTAAATGAAAACAAAATATTGAGTAGAACCAAAGTTATGAAATGAATTCTTGATCAATATGTCTAGAGATGTCGGTTAATGTTGATAATAAATTTTAATAATAAACATATGTTTATAGGTAAAAGAATATCTATATAAATAAAATTAAGGTTTCGTCTGAACATTGAATAGAATCAACCCATTTCATGATATCTTTCTAATTTGTGTCGAGATCCTGGTTAGGCAGTTACTTCAATTCTCATCCCAACCTACTCTATCGTGAGCCACATTTTACTACTCAACTGATGGAAAAATTATCACCGAACATCTGTAACGCGTTGTCGCATAAAACGGGAAAAACACACTCATTTTTTAACTTTGTCCGATCTTCCCATTCAAGGTGTCATTCGATTCAACTTTCCTAGCATAACAAATGTTGTCGAATATATTTTTAGGATTAACCAAACGGATTAGCTGGAAATCAGGAAAAACTCCTAAAAATTTCACCCCGCCCACCACGATATTCAGATCAAGTTCTAATTATACACAGATGCAGGAGACTTAATGCCCAATATTATTTTGGTTATTTTGTCAGCGATAAACTTAGCAGAGTTTAAAGAAGTGGAGAGCCTATAACTCTTTTTGATTAATCAATCGACTCCAAAATCTCCTCGCTTCATGATAAATGAAAATTAAACACTTAACAAAGTTTAATGGATCGGTGGTGGTCGGTTTAGTTGTGTGGTATCTAACAAATAGTCGAATAACAAAATTTTTGTTATGACTATTACGAATCCTTGACTTCCATAAGCCCCGCCATAAAAATTTTCTAAACAATCCCCTTCCCCCTTCCGACCCAATTTTATGAAATTGAATTTGAACCATTTCCCCTATAATACAAAATCCATCACAAAAAAAATTCTCAAATTTTAACTATACACCCGTCAACGACGGGTACATCAGCTATTGTGATATAAAATTATCTTCTAAAAGAACACTTTTCTTTTTCTGTAACCTGATATGATTTATATAAAATTAATTAATAAAATATTTTTATTTAAAAAAAAAATTTGCTGATTAAAAATATTAATATGTATTTCAAATTGTCATCGTGAAATACATCAGGCATCAGCTATTTCTAAAATTCTAATGTTTATGTTTTCATGAAAATAATTCGAACTAATACAGGATTTAATTTTTTCAGACATAATAAATGTTATCTTAAATTGGTATTCATGTTCTCTTTGTCTTGAGGTATGAGTATTTTAATTAGCCCGATTATAACTATTTCTGAATCAAAACATCCTATTCTTGGTAAATGTATCTACTTCAGAAAAAATACTATATAGAACAGTATTTTTTTACCAATAGTATTATAATAGTAGTTTATTATGTGTAGTATAGTAATGTATAAAGTATAATAGTATTTTTTACCAATAAGACCTCTAAACCGATTAAAGATAATAGCTCATTATCTTTAAAAAAAATTAAACTTATTGTTTTTTTTGCACTTACATATATTTATCCGCACCTGTCAATTATTATCGACAATCAGCAGATGTGCTGGCATAGTAATGAGAGAAAAAAAAATAAATAAAAAAGGCTTGATAGGCATGAGGAATAGCAATACCCAGCGGTATCCCTTCCATGGTTTTTATTTATCTAAGAAGATCCCTCATCCAGACCCTTTTCAGTCATCCAGACCCTTTTCAGTCGTCTTATGGAGTTCTCCAGCATACTAGTTGTGGCCATTTCTTTTACCAGCTGGTTGGAGTGTCCGTTTAATATGTTATGAAATCGTTTGTAGTACGTTCGTATGTGTTCATGACTGTCGGAACGTGTAAGTCGGTGTGTAAAGTGTGATTGTTTACGTACCATGGTACTTGAGTGATTAGTTGTAGTATCTTAGACTGAAAAGTTTCCAGTTTTTTTATGTGAGTTGGTTTTGCAATTCCATATATTTGTAGTCCATAAGTCCAAAGAGGTTTTAAAAGATGTGTAAATACTTAGTTTCTGTCTTGCTTTTAATTTGGAATGTTGTCTTAACAGTGAATGTAACAATTTATGTCTTAGATTTAATGTGATTCGTTTTTTCTTCACATGTGGACCCCATATCATTCTCCTATCGAACGTAAGGCCTAGGTATTGTACTCTGTCTGTTTGTGGAATCGGTATCTTGTCTAAGTATACAGGAGGGCATGTTTCTGGTCTTAGATTAAATGTGATGTGCTGTGACTTTTGATAATTTATTTGAGTTTTCCAAAGTTTACACCAATCGAGTATAATCTGCAAGTGATGTTGTAAGTTAAGTGATGCCCCTGTAGGATTGTCGTGCCTGGTAATGATAGCAGTGTCGTCTGCGTAGGTTGCTGTAAGAGTGTAGATACTTTGAAGAATGTCGTGTGTATATGTGATGTACAATAGTGGGGCTAGGATTGATCTCTGAGGTACAACAGCTAAAACTGATCAAATTGAGGATAGACCTTGACCATGTCGAACAGAGAAAAATCTATCTGAGAGAAAGGAATGGAGAATTAAGTAGTAAGTATGTGGAAGTATGGTCTTAAGCTTGAAGAGAAGCCGCTGATGCCATACTTTGTCGAACGCTTGGGCGACATCCAGAAATACTCTGGTTGCATATAATTTCCGCTCTAGTGCCCTGTGCAATTGTTGTGTTGTTGAATGTAATTTTTGAAACCCGAATTGATGGTCAGGAATAATCTGTCTGTCTGTTAGTATATGTAATAGTCGTGGGTACAATAGTTTTTCGAATAACTTAGAACATACTGGAAGTAAACTAATCGGTCGATATGAAGAAGGATTGTTAGTGTCTTTGTCTGGCTTTTTAATCATGGTTATGTGTGAGTATTTCCACTGTATAGGAACTTTGGTGGTCCTAAGAATGCAATTGAAAATTGTGGTAAGAAACACTAGAGCTTTCCTTGGCATTTGCTGGAGCGCCTCAGCAGTTATCAAGTCATGACCAGGGGTTTGAAATTTGAAACTTGTGATGGTGTGAAAGGAGGTGGTGGTAGTGTGAGCTGTAACGGTATGTCTAAGTTATTATGTACAAAAATATCGTGTTCTGTATTAATTAGGTCTGTATGTGGTTTAAAAACAGTGGAAAGGTGGTTAGCAAAGAGTTCAGATCTTTCCTCATCCGAAACAGCCCAAGAACCATCCTCTCTTCGAAGGGGTGCTGACACCTCACGATGCTTTAAAAGATTCCTTGTATGTCTCCATAAACTTCCATCGTCCGTCGAAAGGTTGTTAATAAAATTGTCGTAGTTTGTGCTTTTGAATATGTGTTTTAAGTTCGTTGTTCAATCTGTTAAAAGTTTGTTTGTCTGAAGGAAGTCTATTAGACTGCCATACTTTACGTGCTTTTCTCTTTGCTCTAATCAAGTCCCTTATTTACATAGGATAATGGGGCAAGTTCGCTGCTTTTTGTGGCCTGGATGTTGATGAGGCCCATGCTGCATCTTGTATGTTTTTTGTGAATTTTTCAACAGCTTCTTCTAATTCCTCTTGATTTTTAATTGAACCTGGAACAGAAAGATTGGTGTTCAAATGGTCTCTATATGCGTCCCAGTCCATGCAGCCTTTTATGAGCCTAGGACTTTTTTGTGCTTCTGAAGGTGCGTCGAAGAGAACCATGTGCACTGAGGAGTGATCAGAACAAAGATCGGAGGTTGCATTGACGGCAAATGGTATGGTTATAAGTCCTTTTGTAATAAAGAAATCAAGTAAGTCGGTAGTTTTGAGTCTGGAGGTGGGCCAATAAGTTGGTGAATTTGGAGTTACAGTGTCTAATGAAAGTTCAAGGAGGACAGACCAGAGATTTCTGCCTCTTGGAGTACACAACCTTGAGGCCCACCCTTGATGCTAAGCATTATAGTCTCCACCTGCGATGAAGCATCTTCCGAGGCGTTTGAAGAACTTAGAAAACATCGTGGGTGTAAGCTTGTACCTCGGGGGACAGTAAACTGACGCAAATGTTATAGTGTAATGGGTAAGTCTATGGGATTGGGTTTCAGTGAATTTTTGACGAGTATAGCTGTTCCTCCATGTACGGATTTATCTGGGTGATCAGTTCTATAAATTGTGTAATCCTGAATATAAATTTTTGATCAAGATGTCAGGTGTGTTTCTGTAATGAGTGCTACGTCGATCCGTTTTTCGTGCAAGTATAAGTCGAGTTCAGTACTGTGCTGTTTCAGTCAGTTAGCATTCCATAGAACTGACAAGGAACCTACAGTTAAATTATTGTGGGCCATAATTTGGAGACCAGACCTCTGTAGCCTGTGACAGTTGTTGAAGAAGAATGAAAAGGAGCTGGATTAGGTTATTTAATCCATTAATTATATTAAATAATTGGGAAGAGTCATTATCTACCGGAATTATTGGTTGGGTAATGCCTCTCCTCGTACCTGTACATGTTTTCTGGTTCGGGGGTGCTGAACTAGATGATGTTTGATTTTGTTGTTGCGGCGGTCCTGCGATGACCTGAGGTTCCCCTTGGTAGTGACGTTGCAGTATTGGAGGAAATTCATGCATGCCTGGAGGTCCCTCTGCTACTGTGGGACGCTGAGGACGATTTCTTGCATTGTGCTGAACCCTGAGATCTTTCAGCGTGTGGCAGCCTATGTAGTTAGCAGGGTGCTGACTGGCACAGTTGGCGCATTTTGCGGGGGTGTCTCTGCTTTTCAAACATGAGCTGGTTTCATATTCACCACACTTTACGCATCGTGGTCGATGGTTGCAATAAGTTTTAGTGTGCCCATATTGCTGGCACCGAACACACTGAGGAATATATCTCTTTTGACACGGTTCCTTAATTTTAATATGTGAATAATACAGAAATTCAATACTAAAAATTTCTTCTCTAAATGTATCTTTTGTAATGTCCACAAAGAACACAGAAAGGGGTTTTTTCGAATCGAGATATGACGTTAACTACATTGGTGGCTTCGTAACCCAATTTTTTTAAATTCTTCTTTAATGATACCGACTGGTGTTCCATGGTGAAGATATTTAACAATCCTTGGGCATTAGTCCTGTGGAAGTTGGTAAGTATGGAAGTCGGCACCTTTATTTTGCAGGCTAGAATTTAATTTTCGATTAACGTCCGGATTTTCTGGGTACACAGTGACACCTTTCAATGTAGACTTCGTTTTAAACATATTAGGACCCCTTTCGTTTTCTAGAAATGAGATTAATGTATGGTAATTTTCAACACTGTTTATAAAAATTGGTGGAGTTTTATCGTTTTGAGGCGCTCTTCTAACTTCTTCTGTTTGTAAGTTAGTTATATCGGTTAGAACTTGAAAACTGTTCGAGGTTGGGATAGATTCTGTCGGTCGTTTTTGAGCTCTTGGCTCGCTCGAATCTATCATCAGTCTTTTATGACCAATAACCAGTCCCTAGGAGCCGTCTTCATTGTTTATATAACTGTTTTTAAAGTCCATGTTACTTATCACAGTTTGAGTTGATTCCACCATTGTTGGCGGTGAAATCTGCTCAATCTTTGTTTGGTGTTTTGTCCTTAGCAATCTTGTCTTGATAAAACACTTTTGCTACACAAAAATTAAGTATTTACACTTAATTAACACTTTTTTGGAAGACAAAACTAAATTAACCTTTCACCTTATTTAACATCAACAGCTGTTCTTATTAATTGTTAAAATTATTTTCATGAAAATGAAATATTGGGATTAGGAGATATGAACATTCAGTCAGCCACATAAATACGATGAATATCAATTCCCATAGTCAAGATCTATGTAAAAAGGACTGATGCACTATCACTTTAGGTGCTATAGTATAAGCAGTAAATCATAGGCTATATGCATTTTGAATGATAAAGCCTGTATAAATATTTTTCAAATACCAGAGACCAGAGGTTTCCTTTTTGGCACGCAGGCCACATTGAGACCTCCTTATACGTCCCATTGTCCATATTGAGACATTCTTGTAAGTCCTAAGCGGGTAATGGGTTGCGATAAAAAAAAAAAAAAAAATTTGTTCTGTAAATGACACCTCAGGTATAAAATGAGTTTTTTTTTGCAGGAACAACTCATACAATAAATGTTATAGTAACATCATGTTTGAGTGATATACTAAATTTTACATATTTTTTTAAAATTTTACCAAGTAATCACAGAGACATTCGTGGATCGGAATGGAAATGCTTGCGGACCGGATCCGGCAGTAATATGGAAATCCCTGTCATAGATGTGTTTTATTAAGACCATATTTTCAATAAACCTTGTGAGAAACTTACTGGTGTAGAAAACTGTTCCAGTGCTTTAAGTATTCTTAGTGCTGAGGTTCCAATAGTGTCCCTCTGTAGGGTAGGGGATGCAGTAACATTTACAACCCTTGCTTTTGGTTGATCCACAGTCAACAGACGAGCAGAAGCACCTCCATATGTAGTTTCTCCAGGGTAAAAACAGCTTTCATTTAAAGATGTTCTAGGTCTCAGACCACTCTGAAATTATAATTTACAATTAACTGATGATCAAACAAAATAAATTCAACATAGTACATACAAATAACTAATGGCATGAAGTCATATAAGAAAACAAGATAAACATTAACAGTACAGTACCTAACTATATTATTATATAGGGTGTTTCAGAGTTAAGTGTCCTATTAATTAAGGATCTCTAAAAAAAAAGAAGTTCTTTTAAATGTTTTTTTGTTTAGGATATATTCACATCTAAAGATTTGTAATATATAGAATTATTTAGATTGTAATAAATAAATTAATATTTGTTCCAACAGCATTATTAATGAAATGTAAACATCAACATTCATATTTTATGTGATTAAGGAAGAGGATTTGCGTAGTGAGATAGGTAGAGAATTCCAAAAAAAGGTACCATGCATCATAAAGGATTTATTAAAGGAAACGGTTCTGTGAGAGGGAACAAACAGGTTTATGGACTGGGATCTCGTTTTAAATGAATGAACTGAGGAACAAGGAGTAAACAAATCAAGAAAGTAAGATGGCTTTTTGGATGTAAAGGAATAAACCAAGGAAATATTGCCGCCGGAAATTTGGATAGAGCCACTCAGCATAACAACTGGAGACATGGGAGCGCCTGGGGACTTTAAAGATGAATTGAATGAAACAATCATTAATCTTTTCAATCTGATTTCAAGCCCACCAGACAGTCCACCGTATACAAGGCAGCCATAATCGAAGTGAGGAAACTAGGATTTGGAGGGTTTTTAGGGGCATAGAATCATGGATTCTCAGGAACTGTTTTAGGGTACCAATATATTTTCGGATAATTTGGGAGACTTGATTATTCCTGGACAGGAACTCATTGAAAATTACTCCGAGACTACTGATAGAAGAATGGAATGGAATTAATAAGATGCTTAGAATCAATGAGAATGACTTTAGTCTTCTCAATGTTCAACTTTAAATCATTACTCGCTGCCAAAATAGCAATACTGTTTATGTCTTCTTGTAGTCTTCGAATCACCTTGAAGAAAAGGTAGATTTGGAGATCTTCAGCATATAAGTGGTATTGTGAATGATGGATGGAATCGGGAAGGTCGTTGATGTACATGGAGAAAAGAATTGGAGAGAGCGAAGATCCCTGAGGAACACCTTGAGTTAGTGAGAGGGGGGGAGGAAGCAGTTTTATTGGAAATAATGACTGTTTGAGATCTGTGATACAAGAAGGAACCGAACAACTTTAGGACACTATTTGATGTGGAAAGGTTTTGGAGTTCGGAAAGAGGGATTTCATGATTATGGAATCAAACGCTTTTGAAAAGTCAAAGAGAATCAGGATGGAGATTTTTTGTTTGTTGATGGAGAGATGAAGGTCTTAAGTTAATTTCAATAAAGTAGATTGGGTGAAGAACTGGGATCGGAAACCAGACTGGAGGAGATTGAGGAGAGCTTTTTGCTCAAGAAAGGTTTTTTAATGATCTCCTATCTGGACTTAGGATCTGGTGCTTGTGATAGAGCCTTAGCACGTCGCCGCGAAGATTGGGTTAGGTTTCGAAGGGTTTTGAAAGAGATGTAATCATCCAGATTAAATGTGCGTTTAAAGCGCCTTCTAGCTGTGTCTCTGCTCTTTATCGGCCTTCTGATTTCAGGATTAATCCAGGGAGTAAAAGGATGTCTGCAGGCAGAGGTCTTTAGAGGTGCATGTTGATTCAGGAATAGGAGAAGATGGAATTACAAGGATTGGGCTCATGTTTCAAGAAAAGGATTTAGTTTTTCAGAGGTCAATGAGCCAAGGTCTCGCCAAGTTATTTTCTTAAGAGTGAATTTAGGAGTCGGGACATTATAAAAAATCTTGATAAGATCATGATGTGAAAGAAAGGAAACAGGATTCTGGGAAGAGGATAATAAGTTTTGAGAGGAATCAACTAGAAAAAAGTCGAGCAATGCACTCGAGAACTGGGTATGGTGAGTGGGTTGGAAGGGAACAATGAAAAGGTCAAGGGAGCGGATTAGGTCTACAAGGTATGATTTGTCAAGAGAGTCAGAGCATAAATTGGTGTTAATTTAAAAGTCGCCGGTAATTATAACATTATTGTATAAGAGAACGTAGATAAAAAGGAAGGATTATAAGGGATCAAATTAGACTTGAGAAGGACAATATGTAGAGGAGGGAAAAAGATTCTGAGAAAATTTCTACAAATGAATACTCTCATGAGGAAAGTCGGGAGAGGGAGTCTTATGAAGGATTTTTATCCTCAGACTTTCATGAACGTAGAGACCAAACCACCTGTCCGGACCGTTCGATCATGACGAATGAGGATATAGTTAGGGATGGATACAGAGGAGGAAGGAATGTTTGGTTTGAGACAGGTTTCTGAAACGGCAATAATATGGTAAAAATTATGGAGGAAATAATCTTGGAATTCATTAAAGAGAGCGGAAAGGGATTGGAAGTTGACATGGCACGTTAAAAGGATATTAGTCATTTAAAGATAGAAAAGGATATACATCTTTAAAGTTTGAAAAGGAAAGGGATAATTGTAAATTAGTGTATTTGAGTTTTCACTATGTAAAATTCAATAAAACAGAGAAAAATGAGATAAATGATAGTGAGATTTGACAAAACGAATAATAATTGCAACTGAAATTGAATGACTTTTCACACTAAAAAAAGCAATAAATAAAATGATAATAAAGAGATACATAGAGATAATGTGCAAATATGTACAAAGATGAGTAAGAACATTATCTAAAAGAACCAATCCCTGAATATTCAGACAATAAAAGACATTAAATTAATAGATGAAATGATAAATAATAATATAATAACACCGAGAAAACCAGACTTAATGTAAAAATATGTAGAGATAAGTAAGAAAATAATGTGAAGATACAAAACTCCAAATTTTCAATTCCGAAAAGAACATAAAATAGTATTCCTTGTGGAGAAAATTGTATTTGAAAGAAATATATTAAAAAAATAAATAAAGAAAATTTGGTAACTATGAACGGAATATGTAGTAGGGAGCTAACAATTGTGTTTGCATCATTGAAATACATTCAAGTCTTCGGCTTTGTTGATGGCTTACAAGTCATTGTTGCTAATGACAACAACCATTGTTAATGACAGCAACCTGTAAGCCATCGTCTTAACACGCCCTCTAGAGAACCAGACGTATCTGATTTCTCCCGCTGCCTCTCTCTGTCTCACCAGCCAGTAAAGATGATGGTTGTATGAGGTCATTTCTTCAGTGATATAAATTCTTTCATCGGTACCCCTTGTGCTGGTGGTGAAATCCCTTTTTAACCTTTTGAGTCGAAGCACCTCGTCCCGGATCGTCTGGCGGACAAAACGCATGACGATCGACAGTAGCCGGGTGTCCTCTCCTCTAAGTCGCTTTCTTTCCACCAAATCTAGGTCCTCAGTGTTAAGCTTCACACTTAGGGCCACCCGACGGACAAAACTATCCCCTTGGACGTTTCCCCGGTCTTTGCGGGGATTCCTCTGAACTTGAACAAGTAGAAAACTGGGCCTATTCTGTACAGTTTAACCTGATCTCCATATTTTTAATTTCCTTCTTTAGGTTATTATTTTCGGTTAATAGCTTTTCAATAAGCTCCTCTTGTCTTTTGGAACGTTCTTTCCGTCGCCTTGAGCCTTTTCAAGTTTACGACTGTCATTGTTGCTTGTTTATTGACGGTGCTTTTGATGTCATTAGTAATTTTACCTAGCTCTGCTGTATCTACTGAGAAATTTATATTCGCCATTACAATAAATGCAAGGCATAACGGGTACTCTGCGAAAGTGTCAAATAACTTTAAATGTTCTAGAGAATTCTCGCATCTAATTTTAAGCAGTAATTATCCTTTATGGTTTTAGGTTATTACAATCCTCTATCTGAACAGTAGGAATGAAGTAAAAAATACATTTAATCATATTTAGAAACATTTTGTAAGAAGTATATTTAATGATATTTAATTGTTACTTTGTCTTTGCTATAATGTTAAATTATTCTTAGAATTGTGTATTGCAGTTATTGTATCATTCAAATTACAAAATATTAACTATTCCACAAAGACAGCCAAGAGAAAATGAGAAGACAATATGTAACAAAAGAAGAAACTACACAACGAAATAAATTACAGCGTATGTCTGTGTATAGAAGGGCAGACAGACTATTATCTGTTTGTAATGATTGATCATGAAAACTACACAAATAATTGTTTACCAAATTTAAACTAGATCATCGTCATGGTCCTCGGAAGGCTTAGCAATCATCTGCAGATTTTTCATTAAATTAAATAAGTAATCATACAACTGAAATTTCTAAACTTTATGTGGTTAGAAAAATCTAAACTAATTAGCAAATTCTACAAAGCAGATCAACATAATATTCCAGAATGTTTAGTCTAGAGGGGAAAAATAAATAAAATTAAAATAAAAAGCATTGAGTAAAGGATATTCTCTTACAAAAAACTAATTAAATATGAATTCATAGCAATGGTGACCCCCAGATAAACTTCTTAAAAATACCATAATAATGTCTCTAAATTACTAACTAAAAGAGTTCCTTTTCTAATTGCATTTTTTTCACCAAACGTTTATTTAATTATAATTATTTTTTAAATAATTGATTAAAAACATTTCAATAAAAATCACAGGAGAACAACATTTAAATGTAATTACTGTGTTGTTTAAAACTTAATAACACAGTCTTATAAACTAAGAAACAGGAAAGAAGGTCTCAGAATTAATCAAGTTCATTAGCTAAAGGCCTTAAAAAAAAGTCTGAAACTAAATTGATTTGTATGTATCCTAAATATCCTGTTTCTATATCAATAAAGTATCTTCTTATAAACTAAGAAGCACCTAAAATTAATTTTAATTTATTTAACTTAATGTGCATTATTACCTTGTTTAAAGGATTTCTAAAGACAAAAGTATCAAAACTTGGTTGGGTAGAGTTGATCGTACTTGAGCTAGAGAGATTCAAACTAGATCTTTTATTGGCATTTTTCTTCTGGTCAACCAATGGAGTCCTTTTCACAAAAGCTAAAGAATAGGAAATTTCTTTAGATTATACTGAAAGGGAGATACTAAATCTATATAGTCATATATAAATGGAATCATTAATCTTATTTAAATAACATCTTATCAAATTTATCCTATAAAAGAAAAAAGGCTAGTATTCAGCCATGATTTAAAGCATTACAAATTTAACTAATGAAGACAGCCTGTGATAAACTATTATTGCAACCCATATCCATATTTATTTTATTATATACAAAATTTATTTGAGCATAGATAAAATAATATAAAATAAATGCAAACAATATACAAAAAAATTTAAATAACGTCACATAAATATGGAACATATATTTCAAAAAGAATACTCAACTGTTGTAAATTGAACAAAGAAGAAATCCATACAAAATGAGTGTAAGCTCCATATGAAATTAGAAATAAAATATGCTATCACAACCATAGAAACTTGAGAAAATAAAATCTAATAGCCAAATTAAAAAAATAAAATAAATAATTAAAAAATTTATTAGGTAAAGAACATTATTAATGAAAACAAATTTGAACTTAAATCTTATGATCACATAAATAGATTATAAAATACCCTTGAAACTGAAGAAGACTGTTTTAAGTTTTTAAAAAAGCTAAATACTATAATCTTATTTAGATAAACCAAGAAAAAATGTTACCTAACAAACAAAAGAGAACACTGTAAAACAAAAACAGAATTGATATGTTGGTGTATATTAATATGTTTGCTCAACCAGAAGCAAAAGTTGTGAATGGAATTAGATGAAATATATATGGGCCAAATTATGTACCAACTCACACAAATCCTGAAAATTTCAACCAAATCTGATTGATGATAGTAGGTGATATGCTTGTCACATGGATTCAACTACAAACCGATAGAGACGGAACCAAATTTGTTCCTTGATGTCCAAAACATAAAATACTACCCATCCACTTGAAAAGAAAATGATAAGACATTGAATTGAATATCCACATAATCCTGTCAACTTATTTTATCCACATCAGCTTTACCACAGACTACACAATGATGGTGTGACATCATTCCATTTGGACAAATGGTATATGGCCACCTTAACAAATAGAATGGACAAATCCCAGCTTAACAGAAACTATCCTAGGAAGATTTCCAATCCAACCCCACAACAGATCGATCAATAGCTGACAATAACTGGCAAATCAATGTCTACAGCTGGGATTCATACCTGGGTTAAGAGGTTGGAACCTAAACCACCTCTCATTTTGTTACAACACCTCCTCATAACAAAAAGTTTCAAAGAAAAAAAATTTAAATTATTAACATCACCTCAATAAAACTCCGAATTAAAATAATTAGTGTTTTAAACTGCTTTTAAAAATAAAATTAAATTAAAATAGATCAATTACTAGGAGATGCTTTGGGTGAAGACTCATAGGTTGTTTGTCGTACAGCAGGTGTGGAAGATACAAAATTGCGCAAATGTAGACCACTTGGCCCTGGCACAGCTCTGTCTCTTTCAGTGTCTAGTCTGCTACTAAGAATAGGGCTGATATCCCCACTTTCTCGATCTAAGACCAAAATTCAACCAAATCAAGTTTATTGAGTTTCAATATCCTAGATAAAATAGAAATAAATATATAAATGAGATAACAATAAACTAAGGTTTATTTAAATTTAAATCAGTAAATTTTTTAATGGTAACCATAGTTCACTAACCATCTAGATACTTTATATAGGCATCTAGGTAACTATTTAAGCACATTCTCGTCTACATCATCAATACAAATGCTATTATAGAATTTGATAATCACCACTCTTATATCATTATTAATTCAGGCCAAACAATAAGGATGTTTTAATTTTCATCCTAATAAATGCTTTTATGAATATTTAAAGATTTTTTATTCACTATCGCTAGAGTGCGGGATTGAAAATTTTCCAAATTATTCAATAGTTAGCAATTGTATTGATGAAATGTTAATCATTTTTTCATTAAATTCTGGATTATATTCTACAACAATGTATTTAGATTGTATAAATAAAACCCTATGGAAAGACTAATTATAGTCAAAATGCAGTGCATCTGAAGAATAAGTAAACTAAATCGAATATGAAAATCAATTGTAGTAATGTGTTAGGTATCACTACATTTGCTATAATATTCTTCTAGGAGAATAACTAAAGAAGTAATACAATGATTACCATAATTCATCAAATGAATAAAAGGATAAACAGAATGCTCGACTCTCCAAAACTAAGAAGAAACCACAAACAGAACATAAAAAAAAAAAAAATTATTTAACTGAATCTTATTAAGAATGACTGGTCATAGGATTCTTCTGGACTACTATTTGAGCATGCACCACTAGCATTACAGTAAAATTAAATATATATCGAATATTTCTGACACAAAGCCTCAGGTCTCTAAAATAATGATGGGGAACTAATAGTTAACATTTTACCAATTCAGGCTACATTACAGCAGAACAAACAATATCACAAATATATAGACCAAACATAGCACAACATATTTGTAACAACTATCTCTACAAGACATAATCTTGGTCAAATTTGCTTATTAATATGTATGAAAAATTTAGAATAAATGAAAATTAAAATACGAGAATTTCTAATATGATTATCAAATAAATGTTTAAATGGTAACGATTAAAGGAGCCTGATCCGATTATTCCAAATAAAACGTCAAAATATTGTAGTAATGCCACATCTGAAAGACAGATGGGCAAAGACCACATCAATCCCATGGGGGAATGAATAATAAAACTAGGTGAATGAGTTGATAAGTATAGATGACCGATCACTAAACCATTCCATTACTAAGTAAGGACACTACAATAAATAAGGAAGCTGACACCAAAAATGTTTAGAATGAAAGTCAAATCGAGGACATAATGGCTAGACATTTGGGACCTGGGTGCCAGGGATGAAATTGCCTGGTTCAGAACATTATAGATTTGATTCACACCTGAAATTCAGTTAATAGAGTCCTCTTATACAACTATGAAGAATAAAAGGATAAAGTATGCATTTATGTAAGCTTGTATTAAATTTTTTTTTAAGTAAATAACATAATAATTTTTAAAAATATGCATAATACAACAGACTTTGTATTGTGCCATTGTAATACAATAATACAACACACTTCTGATTCATTAGTCATATTTAGCTTGACCATGAGCAGGCTTTAGGTATTTTTATCAATTTTTTTTTTAAAACGTTAGCCAAACCAGGGTTTCCTATGTAGAAATAGTTATGTTACACATTTTCCGCAGAATAGTAATAAGAATGTAATGCTTTGTATCTTAAAATCTTTTCTTTATTCTTTGAACATAATGATCAATAATTCAGTTTTGAACATAATATTGGATGGAAGAAAATTAATCTTCCTAGAAAATCATAACAAATATGGCTGCTTTACAGCTATTGAAGTTTTCATTTTAAGAAAAATATCATTAAATCAATGTTCCTGTCTAGTTATCAAAATTTCAAAATGCCTTAAAACCAACAGAATTTTACTGAAAAAATCAGTAAGAATTGTCTATTAAAAGTTTCCATTGGAGAAAGTTTTTCTGTTTCTATTTCTTGGCGATCGACAAGAAATGAATCTTGGCACTTCCCTCTGGTTAGTACAGCATGAGTAACCTGTCATTAGCCACCAGGGATTGGCAAAAAAATTACATGGTCCATTTCCTGGACTAGTTGTCCCTAACTGGACGAGTACCGGTGCTCACAGTACAAACGGAATCTTTACACAACAATAATTAAGAAACTAAGAATTCAATTAAATTAATTAAAATTTGCAAACGAAAAGTTATCAAGTACCATAGGACCAACTTTATAATGCACTGACATAAATTAGTAAATATAATGATCTAGATTACACAAAAAATATTCGAATTCATTAATTGCATGTATTCTTATCAACTTATTTGAAATAGAGAAATTTACTAATGAGGCACTCAGTTGTACAAGTATGTAACTAATAAAATAAAAACTTATGTATTCCAGAAACAGTGAATACAAAAATATAGAATTTGACTTTAAATGATTACCAATTTGACTATTCACAGATAAATAAAACAATCTTGAGCTTGAAAACCAGAAATTTATTAGAAGCTTATAGTTTACTTATGCTTCCATGTATAACTCTTCACAATAACTCATCCAAAAGCAACTCCAGACATTTTTGGACCATGCAATCTTGTGCCTTTTTATGAGTCTCACTGGTAAAATGATACCAGAGTGTAAACAAAAATTTGAAGTTTAAGAAGGAAATGAAGGATACGAACGACAACCTATGTTGAACTTCAAAAGATTTGAACATGATCAGCCTAATAAGCAATTATATATAATCTGCAAGCTAAAATTAATTTAAATTTATATTTCTATGTAAAATATGTACCTATGTATATCCTGTAATTACAACTAAAAAACAAGTTCTATTTCCCTACTCCGAGATAAGGGCCAGTTTCAAGATAATCCAAAGCACGCTATTACCAGATTACCGAAGAATGCTAAAAGTACCTTATTATTTGTCTTTACAAAGCAACTTTCGCCATTCAATTAGACAACTCCTTTACATTATGTGACAGAAATGCTTCGACTTGTAATGGTATAGATAGCATTAAACAAGTTATGTTATATTCCAACCTTTTTAAAGAGAAAATTAAGAAATAAAAACCTATTAAAAACTTCCCTCTTGGCTCATTAATACGGAGCAAGGCAGGAGAGAGAAGATAATAAGAAAATAATACTTAAGTATAAGAGTATTAGAATAAAAAACATAATTAAAATAAGCCTATTGCAATCAAATTGAAGTCTGCCTTCTGATTGATATGGAGAAAATTTTGAATATAGTAAAAATTCATAGCATTACAATTATAAATAGTTATTCATACTTAATTCGATTTTCAGGTTGGAATTTTACTTGATACAATTCTTACAATATTCAAAAACTATTATGGGCTAAAAATATTGTAGACCATTTTTAACGAAATACATTTAAAATTCAAAAGTAAATTGTTATTAAAGTTAAGTTACAATTGTATTTTAAGTATGCATTTCCTAAGAAGTGAGACTTGACTAATCAGTGTAAATGATTTCGATAATTCGGTTCATGCCAATATCAAAACTCAAAAATAAGTGAATATGACAATGATGTGATTCTTGGAATAAACGCTATCACTTAAATCTAGCTAATGAAATATGAACATTATGAAAGTAAACGTTTCACTCATAAAATTAAGGGGTAGTTTAGCAACTACTATGAGTTGGGGATCAGTCTGCTCAATCTACTTTTTGACATATTTTCAAGAATCAAGAAATAGCGTGCCCTGAGTGATCTTAAAATCTGCTGCCATCTAAAGAGACCTAGTACCAATACTATACCCAGAACCCGAAAAAAAAACATATTTTTATTATAAAAATAATTAATTCACAATGCAATAAATAATAACACCCATAAAGAAGTAGACAAAAAAGTAAGGTTCCAATATGTAATCAACCTAGCATTGGTTTTCATTTTTTTTCAAATTTGGGTTGACCCACGTTATAAATCTTACACTTATTACTCTAGAATAGGTTAGAATCAGCATAATTAAAAACCCTATCTACCAAAATTGTGGCATGTAAAGGAGTTATATTTAATCATCAAAACTATAATCACTATATTCTACATAAAAACTATACAGACCTAAATCACTTAATCTGTTAACATTGTTATGGTGAGAATAATCATTTGATTCAGATGACCGGAAACATAGTCTTTTAGAAGGTGGCTGTCTTTCTTCTTCCTCTTCATCTTCTTCTTCTAATTCTTCGCGCTCACGCACATTTATCTTTGGAGCAGGGGAAAATAATCTGCTGACCCATGAAGATGATTGCGGTATGATTTCGGAAACTTTTGCAGTAATTCGCTTCACAAAGGACTGAAAAATTAAAGAAAAAATTAGTATTTTTCAAGAGCATAAACTAGATGTGAGATAAAAATATCACATAAAAGGCTTTCAACCTCTAACCAAATCACATGATAAAAGGAAAACTAAGCTATTCTGATCCTTATAAAAAGAAAATTAATCTCACCATTAGTAAATATAAAAGAGAAAATTTTATGAATTTGTGTAAGATATTATAGAAAATATTAGTAAGTAGACAACTTAAATGTATTCAATTAATACTTTGAAACATGTAACTAATTTCAAGGTTGTTAGAATCTATATTTACAGCTAATAATATGCTAGAACAAAACAAACAGAAATTAAAAATAATTAAGAGAGTAATATTAAAAACTTTTATATGACAAGTCAAACATGGTGGAGGCAAGGTTAGAAATTCCAAAGCATGGATGTTTAATTACTCCAGGTATATAGGAAACTTAACTAATAAATAGTAACTAATATTTACAAGGATGGCTTTTTAAAAAAACACATAGTAAACAAAACTCTGAAATAAGAAAAGCCGGGTAGGTTTTATGTCTGTGTTAGAGGTCGTTACAATTCCCAAAGAATCTTACACAATGTTTGGCGCCGTTCACAAACAATAAAATTATTACTTACATTCGAAGTATCATAGGGCTTGTAGTTATGAGATTTTTTCGTCCTGCCACCGTTATTTGCCTTAGCCATTGTAAGTAACGAAGTTTAATGAAAAAATGTATACATTATCACCTCATCGTGAATTAACTTGAAGACCTAACCAACTTTCACTCAATTATAGGGGAATGGCGGCAGTGTGCTCACTTGATTATATGATTACATACTACTATTCAGTATTTAATTTTATGGGCTCTATTTAACTACATCTAAATATTTATTTTAGAAAATAAAAATGAATGAAATTTATAACATAAATAGTTACATTCATATGAAACAAAAATTATCTATTTTAACAAATGCATGGCCACGGTGACTTGGAGGTAAATTTAAACTATACGAAAAAAAAACGAATGTTTTTTTTCCAAACGTGTGTACGTTAAATCTCTATTAAATATATATATATATATACATATAATGTATGGATGATTCTTCGATTATATGCAATGTTCATGGTAGAATTTTAGAAGGGGCGTTTAAATGTTTCATAAACTGTGGGAAACAGAATTATCTAGCTTAACTAACAGTGACATTATTGCTAAATCGCACTATTAATTTCATGTCTCTTTTTACTGACAGCAGATGGAAAATATCAAAAACACTAAACAGAAATACTAGGGTTGTGAAATAATCATTTATATATTTGTTTGTTCCATAGTTTGTGCTATATCTAAATGCACCTTTATAACTGTGTCTGTTTTAAATACACATTTTATTGTCAGAGCTAGTAATCTTTACAGTTCAAAAGTTTTTCTTAAGAAAATTTAAGATTTAATTTTGTGACTACAAACTTGAATTATATATATATTCTTTTTCTTTTTTTTTCGCAACATATGCCAACTAAGGACCATTCGTTCATCATAATTTCTTGGCTTTCCTTTTAATCCAAAGTTTCTTCATTTTTCATTAATTTCCTTTTTTCTGTTTTTCTCTTTTCTATTTCAAAGATCTTTATCTTATTCACTGTTCCCCTGAATTTATATATATATATATATATATATATATATATATATATATATATATATATATATATATATATATATATATATATATATATATATATATATTGAATTATTATTATTATTATTATTATATATATATATATATGATATTTTTTTTTTCAGAATCTAGGGGTAAAGGATTAACTGAAATCGGGTCCTGGGGTATAGGCAACTATAGATAGGGTACCTAAAGTCCCCATTTTTCGGAAACCAGCCTCCAATCAACAAATAAAAATTTTTGGGGAGCCATATTTCAACGAATTTTTGAATTTTAGAGGGAGGCACATTTCGACAAGATTGGATTTTCGAGTTGAAAATTTTTAACCAGGGGACGAGGGAAAAAACATGGACGAGAACACAGCAAGTGTAACTACCTCATATTTAATTAAATATGATCTACATTTTTTCTTGAAATAAAATTTCATAGAAAAGGGAGAGGGTGTAATGGAATGGAATACCTTTGATTTATTGAGGCAGGAAGATATAAAGAGAATATATTTCTCAATTCATCAATTATTACAGTAGCAAAGCTGAAGATTGATGAATTATCTCATTCAAATCCAAAATTAACTCAAACTGTGGATCAACTGGATCCATTGTTTAAGTAAGTTTGGGACGGTTTGGTTTCCTAATTTCTGATGGTGGTCATGCGGAGTGTTACGATGTGACATGTGCAGTGGATCTCAACGCGAGTGAATACATTACCATATTCCAATTCAGTGTCATATTCCAAATCTGAAGAAAAATCTCCTGCTTATGTCACTTAACTTCCCAGGTATTTTCGAGGTATAGTACTAATTTTCCCTAAAATTTATAGATTCTTTTTTCCTCCTCTTTTTATTGCATAATTATTGTTATTTCTTGTACTTTTTGTGAACTCTCAGTAATATTTTTGGAAAAGCAAACCGAGAGGATTCAGGGTTTCTTGAATTTCGGGGCCCGGACCATTTGTCCTTACGTTTCTACGCCTAGTTACTGATCGACGACTTGTCTTTATGTAGCAATTATTATGTCTTAGTTCAGTTCCAGTTGCTGTAACAAATATAAAGAAATTCAAAATTTATTGGCGATTGGCGGAAATGCACAGGTATAATAGGTAAAACGTGCAAACTTAAGCAAGTGGGCCTTAGCCGATTTAGACGGGAATAAGATGGTGCCTAGTGAAATTACGATACGGGCGCGGACAACGGTGATGGTCCTGGATCTACGATGGAAATGTAGAAGAAGCGATCTAAAGCATCAGAAGTGTCATCTTCATAAAAGTAGCATCCTCTTTTCATAAAATGTGGGAAATTGCTCGATAAGAGTTAGGGGATTCAAGGTTGGGTATTGGACGTAATTAATTTTCTTATTTAAATGTATTTTCCTTTCAAGATTGTTTTTCAATTGGTAGGTATTTATTTTTAATAGCTATACTAATCTTCTGGAATGTATAAAGTACAAATTAATTACTGTGATGAACCTTTATACAATAACCTTTATATAATTACAGCCTTTATAGCACTAGCGGATCTAAGATTTATGTTTTGCGGGGGGGGGGGCTTCAGCCCGAAGAATTTTTTTAAAAATTACATAACGATAATTACTTAGGAAGAAAAATAAAGAAACTAACTACCTATATGAAATAGGGTTCAAGTTATTCTGTAAGTACTATTAAATGTAAATTACACTTTTAAAGTTAAGTATTAAGTATTTTTTTCGTTTCATTTATTAAGTATTTGTTTCATAAGATACGGTTATATTTTACCACTTTTAGGGAGGTCTTTAGCCAAAAAACTTCCTCCCTCTCGTAGATCTGCCTATGCTTTGAAGTAGCAACAAGATTTTGCGAAAATAAACACTCTGGAGTCAATGGCGAGAATTCACTTAACTATCGCTACTATCGATTGTGACCGTTAATCGAATCGCCCATCTCTTTTATAACCGCCCTTTACTTCAATTTATTGTTATGAAATGATGGCATATGTAATATTTGCATCTAAAGTTTTTTCCCTTGAAGCTTATCAAACTTAAGGTTGTACTCAACCTAGTTGAGGTAATGCAGGCTGTGATTGTTTAGTTTAAGATTGTTAATAGTGAATAGATATTTAATTGAAGCATAAGATGGATATCACCCTATCCTCAGAGGTGGTTCCCCCGAGTGTAAAAATTCATGTTGAAAACATTAAACGAATTACGAAAGAATATTCAAAAATTAATCTTTTTTTAAACGATTATATTTCAACCGGAGGTTGCTCAGAAAATCAGATGAAAGGCATGTACTTGGAAGCTTTATGTGTAGGAACTCTTAATGCCCTAAAGAGTGTAAATGAGACCCTCAGGTGGATAAGTGAAACAGTCACTAACACAACCTCTAACATATCTTGGTTGAAAATCACCAATGAATGTGAGAATATAGGTTGTATTTTAGCCAGTTTTAATACTATGATAGATATGTTAAAATCTGGAAAATTTAGAGGTTGTAAAATTCTTGATTTGTGTGACAGTTTCATTACTGCTGGTTTACCACCTATAAAACACATCTTTGTCAAAATACAACGGTTTTGTTTGAATAAATTGTATATTCAGACTAAGTTTTGGTTGATGCAAGCAGTATTACATGATCCACATGATGAATTTTTTATAAAACAAGTCAAAAATTCTGTTCTCTCCCAAGAAAGTTTTGTCAACAAAGATACTCATTCCATTTCCTCTGCTACTGTTACCAATACATATTTGAGCTCTACTTCCTTGGCTACTTTCATGACAATGGGTTCAATTTTACCTAATGCAGTGTCTCTCAAATATGAAATTAATGCTGATAATCTTCCATCAGTCATTCCATTTTCTGTTGCTGTTAAAATGTTGTTTATTGGTGAAGCTCTCATTATGTGTCACAATAGGAAAGGTAATCAAGGTAAAAATAACCTTTTGGAGGATTGTGGAATAAGTGAAGAAAGTATAATATTACAATTTGAGGAAATAACAAAATCTGACACATTTGTTCCCAACGATCTAAACAATATTATTAATGATTTATGGATTAAAATTAATAAGAGGATTCGACAAATAAGTGAAGAGATTGGAAATATATCTAATGAGCTTGTCTTGATGTCAGATATTTTTTTACTTGGCAGAGGTGATGTGTTTCAAGAATTCCTTTTAAAAGCAAATAATCTTTTAACTGCTGATGTTACAAGTGTGTCATCACGAAATCTAAATAAAGCTTTGAGGGAGGCATTTTGTAATGTTTATTTGACAGAAGTTTCTGATCTAGTTGATAATTTTTATTTTGTGTTGCCTAATCGAAAATCATTGAAACCTGGCTTCAAAACTATATCTGTAATGTCGTTGGGATATAATGTTAAGTGGCCATTACACTATTTATTCACACGAGATGTGATGAAGACCTATAACAAATTATTTCGTTTTCTTTTGGCTCTTAAAAACTCCTTGGTAGTTTTGATGTCGGTTGGTAAATGTACAAACTTAATAAACAGACATTCATTAAGAATAGAATTTGTTGAAGTGAAGATGCATTTACTTTCCATAATAGTTAATTTGCAAAACTATTGTTTCACAAATGTCATTACTCAAGAAATGAATGTTTTACTCAGTGCTGTTCAAAATACGGAGCTGTTTACTGATTTGCAAAAAATATTTTTTTCTTTTTTATACAATGTGTCTAGTCGTCTTTTTATATCCAGTTCTTTTCAAAATACTGATAAGACAAAAGACAATAGAATGGTAGATACAGAAGAAATAAATAAAAAGGTTTTTAGTTGTTTTGTGAAGATATTTGAACTTTGTGATTCATTTAATGAGCTTGTAAATGGCACTATAGATGATAATTTTTCAATAAAATTGTCTGATATTAAAACTACTTTGTATAAAGTCTTAAAAATATTATTTTCACTTTTAGAAAAAATTGATCAAAATGTTTGGTATGATGATAATGGTTCAGTTGGATATTTGTTTAATTTAATTATGTGCCTTGATTATAATAGATTTTATGAAAAAAAATTTCACTTAAATTTTAGTGATTAATTTGATTTTCGTGTAAGGATTCATAAATAGACCATCTTGGTATCTCTGTTTATTTGTTTCTATGATAAGGCATATGATATCCATAGATTCAATCCCTCTACGAACAGCTAAAATCTGTTTGTTTTTTTTACAGCCTCTCTAATTAAAGTTCAATATACCTTTAATTGGTATTATTTTAGGTATTATATATTATTTTGTATATGGAATAAAGTGCGTTTTTTAAAATACAGTGCCGACCTTAGGACCGACCAACCCAGACAATTGCCTGGGAGGGCTCACCACTTGTTAGGAATTAAAAGAAAAATGA